ACTAAACTCGCCTTCCGTCACAGTACACCGTTTACCATCTGGGTCAAACTGCTTTGGGGTGCGTTTTCTTCTACGTATACGGTATATTAAATTTACCGCCGCATTAATTTCGAGCAGCGTTTATCAAGGGAGCCTTCAGTCGGACCGGCCGGTGTGAGTGGGAGTTTGCAGGCCCGTAACCAGGGGGTTTCGGGAGTTTCAAAAGAACCCCCCCCCCCCTTTGCCGGGAAAAGGTCCCATCTGGGTAAATGCTTATCTAGGTACATGAAGATTTTATGGTAAAAGGTCCACTTTTTCAGGAAAAGGACCCCTCTTTTGAAATTGCTGGATACGGACCTGGTATGGTTTCCTTGTTGTACGCATCGTCATTGTTGTACACTTGGTGTTCAATATTGCATGTTTGTAGCAGAAGTGTCCAAAACGTCTAGGTTTATATAACACGCCAAAGTGAAACAAAAAGTACATAACCCCCAGACAGTTTGCCCTAGCAGTTATCTCCGAAACCGTGTTCATGTCAACCATCACCTTTTCACCCTGAACGTTTAATAGACATTATCCACAAATTTATTCAAACATCACCCGACCCAATGTAAACCGGTGCGGTGTGTTCAAAGCGTATTAAAACAATTAAAACAGTTAAAAAGATTAAAATCTGCGAAATACTGCAATTCTTCATTTGCTGTTCCTCCACGGTCGTGCCTGAATCGTCTTCGTTTTTTTTTTTTTTTTTTTTTCAGTCTTGGTTATTATCTTATGGCGATACGAATTACGTACATCTATTCCGAACTCGAATAAAATAAAAGTGATAACACCTATTGATTCCATAGCAAAGTATTATTTATTACATAAAACAAAGAGAACAGTATGCTTTCCACAGTTCGGTCACGAAACATGTGCCACGCCTTGCCTTTTGGAAGGGTAAAATAGCGTTGCGCATGTTAAAATAAATTTAAACTCTGTTTTCAGTAAAACAATTCAATAAAACTATTTTCTGTTGTTTATGGCCTCTTATCTCTATAAAATGCCACAGGCGTCGCCAATGGCCGCATAAAGTCACCATATGTCAAAGATTGTCTGCCCGATAGATATTCTGTAATTCTCTTAATGTAACAGAGCTTTAATATGCCCCATTTACATGTACAATATAATGTTGTTTGGTTAAACGCTCGAGCATGTTGCTGTACGTCCCTTCCTAAATGGTATTTGTCTTCGTTTCTCTTTAGTCATGACCGTCATTTTAAATTGATATGAATTATGTACATATCATTCGAATAAAACAAAAGTAATATCACTCATTGATTTCGTCCATAGCAAAATATTACCTAATAGATGAAATGAAGAGAACGGTGTGCTTGCGACAGTCTCGTCTCGAAATATGTGTGGTACGCTTCGGCATAGGTGCGTTTTTGTAAGGATGAAAAAAAAACGTTACGCGTGTTATAGCATAGCAATTTTACACTCTAAGCGTTCTACATGCAAAACCAAAATGTTTTCAGCAATCCAATTTTAAAGAAGTGTTTTTGATCCTAATGTTCTTTTTATATCCTTATAAAATTCCAGGCGTTTCATCAATGGCCACATTAAGCAGTGCCCTTGTTCGTTTGATATCTGAACCGAGAAGCAGGTTATTTTTAAAATAAAAACAATATTCAATACATTGAATATTTAGGGATTTCATAAGTGTTCAAACAGTTATCAGTCCAATTTTAAGCCCAGCAGATATTAATGTTTCCACAAAACCAGTATTTAAGCTCTTAATTTTTCTTTTACTGTTATGAGCAATACACCAGACTCCATCTCCAGCAAGAGAGAGAAAGAGAGAGAGAGAAAGAAAGAAAGAGAGGGTGAGGAGGCTGAGGTTTAATAATCAAAACTTAAAACAAAAACCTGGGCTCATATATCAAGATTTTGTCCACGGTATTGGAATGGTGTTCTTCTTGTTCATTGGATTGTTAATTAAGTGTTGAGGTTTTAAAGAAAATCACTTATGGCATAAGGTCTACATTAAACACACATTGAGTGCCTTTATATAAGGTGACGTGCAGCTTCCTAAACGTTTGATCTCAGTGATGATCCGGTGTAACGAAACTGAGGGTACGTGTAACAGAAAGTCTGGCCTCCATTTAGTTATGATGGTTAGGGTTAGTCTGACCTAAGCGGATCAAATTCTAGGGCGAGGTTTACCTATCCAAATAAATGGGAAGCGGACTCTATATCGTGGGGGACTCTCTGTCATGTTACACCGGAATCCATAACGCATTGGGAAACATTTATTTATATTCTTTTCTTATTTTATCTCAAGCAAATTACGAAACAGCACATAACTAAAAAAAAACCCAATTGTTGACAAACTGAAGCGGCAAATGATGCCAATCTTTATATCTTATTTAGTAAACAAAATTAAGCAAACTTGAAATTAACAACCAATAGCTAGACAGTTAAGGACCTACCTCCTTCCGTGTCTCCTGACCAGAACGTGCGCTATGCTATGTCACCGGTGAAACATCATGGCACTATCTTTATAATGGGTCGTTTTATAGCTGTCATTATTTTTAAATGTTTCAAAAAAAATATCTAAAGTGACAGTGAAGAGGGGCATTGATACGGTCGTCTCTGGGCATCTTATATTGTTATTTACAAACATTTGATGTATTTGAGTTGTCAGTTGATTGGATATATGCATGTGTATGTGTATTTTAGGTAAAGGTCTTCTACAGTTCATCCCCCTGTCTGTCTGTCGCAATATGTCATTTTATGAATGATACATGATGATGATCATGTGCGGGTGAAACCCAGTTCTAGAGGTTAAGGTGCACATATTTGCTGCGTGTCATATGACTTGATTTCATTTGAAATATTTATCATTCTAATACCTATATTTATTTATTTATTTATTTAAATGTTTATTTTTCTTGTAATACACTATAAACTTTGTTTGTGTCTACATTATCAAAACTAACATCAAAGTGTCTTTTCATCAAAGCTAAATTACATGTTGCGCAGGCGTATACACGGATTTCTCACACATTTGTTTGCGAACGCAGCTGTACGGGGTATCATACAAATGCCAGGCCGGTGTGTTGACAAACACGCATTGATCAACGACTACAATGACTTCGTTGAGTCACGGGAATGGGGTGCTTCACGGAAGCTTCATCTTGGGAGATAAAAAGTGGCTTTCAAGGAAAGCGAAAATACCCTTTGGGTCCCTCCAGTAATACATAATGAGTAATTTGTCTCTGCGTAATATATCACAAGCAATGTCTGTTCATCAAATATTTACTAGCATGATATATTAAATTAAATAAGTATGATTTGCTTGTTATGGATTTCTCATAAGTTTGTGTATGAACGCGGCTGTCCAGAGTATCAGATCGGTGTCCGGTGTGTTTTCTGTGGTCCCCGCCTTTAGGATCCTCTCTTGTCGCAATCAACGCAATCAGCAAAGGGAGGTTTTCAAAACACATTTTATTTGCCAACAAGTAATGAAAATAAGCTTTACAACAAAAATATCTCTCAACATATATGTATGCTATAAACAATCCAAAGATATATAATATAAGGAAGCTTTTTAAATCACATGTCAAACACAACCTTCTATGAAGTATTCCGCAGAACATAGTGACCCCCATATAATCTTATCCTACGAGAATATAGGGTTGTATCCTACAAGGATATTAGCTTTATCCTGGGAGGATACTAGGCTTTATCTTCTGAATCTCTATTTTGCCTTCCTTTCAGGCCATTTACCACGTTAGGCAGTACCAAGCTTAAACGCCTTAACATAATACTGATAGTTATAAATTTATCATATCATGTTCATAAGCTGTTCAGATGAAGCATAGCCATTTTGCCGATGACGTCATATCGGCGTTTTTTGGGGGTGGAGGTCTTTTTTTCGGTTTCATGATTTTTTCTATTGCCTGGCATCGTATCAGAAAAAAATCTTAATGCTAAAAGGGCTTTGCGTGAGTCTATTTACGAAGGAACAGACGGTTGATTTGAGCTGGTAAAAAGTGATGCGCAATAACACATAAGACAAAAGTTCTTAGAAACCCATAATACATTCACCACGAGTTTGAAATTGTCTTGTCATCTCGTCTGCAGAACAAGCGGGGGATTCTTCTTGGAAGACAAAGGCAAAATGATGAAACATCTGTACAGTCATCACTTTTGAGTAGAAGTCTGCTATCTGTCACGGGTCAAAGCGAATTTGTCTGCACCGGTTACAAAGGAAGCATTGGATTCCCCACCCCCACCCTTCTGTTTTTTTTTTCTATTAATGCAAATGACCACTGCGCACCCCCCCACCCCCACCCCCACCCCCCCACCCCCCCCACACACACACACACACACCTTACCCACTTCTGATATCTAGCATTGGCCAGTGGAACTAGTTACTATTACATGTACATCACCAACTGGAAGTCCGCTTTTTAAATGCTGTTATAACAAGGAATGTAAGAATGTTAAAACCATGCCTAAGCATGGAAATGCATGTACCCGGTACATTTGTTCCTCAACGGGAACATGTAGAGTTATCTGAACGCATTTTCATACAAACGGCAACGATTTTCGTATGCCGTCATAGAATAAACTTATATCACAAAAAAGACAATCATACCTATCAAGTGAAAAATACTAATATGAAAAATATTACCAGTTTGACCTTGAAAGGATGACAACTCTTCCTTTATGGCCGAAAAAGTTCCACAAAAGGATTTTCCCGTGGTAAACGACATTTTTTTTTTGTAATAATAACTTATGAGATAATTACGGATGGTAGCCATTTCAGGCCCACGTGCTCGGGTGGCAAGGTCAGATTTCAGAATAATTGCGCTGGCCGTCATTTTGGAGGTAAAATTGAATTTATGATATTTCTACGAATTGTTAAAAATGTTTATTGGGAAATGTTGAATCTCATATGTAGAGTTGTTATCACCTTAAGATAGAAATATAATAAGACATCTTGCAGCTTTGCTGTTCTTTTGTGGGACCTTTCACTTGCTCGGCTTCATTTCTATGTTAAAGAGACATTTCAACACAACTGGCAAATCGTCGAGGGGCATTTCACGCAGTTCTGCAGACACTGCCGTGAGAAGGCAGCGAACCTTGATGATATTTGAAGCCCTCTCGGGATCCAGCGTTCCTCCAGAAGAGGACGAGATGTCACGAACGAGATTCTCGTACTTGTCCCGGTGGTGTGACACAAGGCATTGGTGTTGACAGTTGAGCCTGTCTGGAAATATTAAAGAAACACTTTACAGTAATTAGGTTTGCCTTGTTTGCCTGTACCTGTAGTATGAGGGTTCGTATAGGTCACATTGAGAGGAAATCAACTGGAGGATTTGGTGGACGGGACAACAAGAAAAATAAATGGCAAAATGGGACCGACACACCACGGTGTCTGGGGTAACTTTAAAAATATCATTTTAGGAAAAACACGAATATCGTACAATATTGCACTTTACAATTCAGTTGACATTCCAGTATTCACTCCAGACAAGAATCATGAAAAAATTGTTTAGAACGGATAATGAATTATTATAACATAAAGTATAAGCCATCGATAACTACCTGGTTGAAGGAAGGACAATGCCTTCAGGCAGGCAAACTCTTCCATGGTAAGTCTCAGCTGCAGTATCTTACTGCACACCTGGTAAAAGGCGGCCGTTAGGCTTTTACTTTGAGCTTGTAAAGATTCTTTAGACGGCTGGTACCTGGTCATAGCCTGGCGCAGGTGAGACGCCAGCCCGTTCCTCCTCATCATCAGCGAGCTCAGTATCGTCACCTCAAAGAAACTATCCGTGGTTAAAGACGCAATGTCACTCAGCGGGATAGAGCCATAGATGGGGAGATTCTTCACCCAACCGCTCTGTCGCTTACAAAGTTCTATGGCAAGGTCGTTAATGAGAGATAACATGTCGCCATCAGACAATTGTCCATCACAGTTTGGGAACACGGTGAGCAAGGGGTTCTGGTCAAGCTCCAGGAGACGCGGGAGAGCCAGTCGCCACAGACGGAGATTGTGGTTGTCCAGGATGTCTTGAGGGCACTGGCAAATTGGGCGTGCATCACTGGCCGACTGAAAGGTTAAAAAAGGAACGCTAATTGAGTTATTATTTCAAAGGGTTATTCATATTTACGTCCGACAGGTGATCATGCACCTATATGTGTCTTGGAATTATATGCCGCTTTAAAAACGATCGTTATTTTTTATTTCAATTTGATTAATGCCCCTGAAAGTATTACTACGGGAGAAGAAATGGGTAAATGATAACTCTGTGTGTTTACTTCATGTCTTAAGAGGTAAACTGGTGCACGCTTAGTAGCATGTCACCTAGAAAAGAATCTACGAGAGAGAGAGAGAGAGAGAGAGAGGCTTACTTTGCACTCAATACTTTCCGCGCCATCAGAAAGATGGCTAGGACTGAGACTTTGTGCAGATTCCGTATCACTATCAGAGTAATATCCACTAAGTATCCGCTCCATTTTCTGTTGTGAATACTAAAAATACAAAGAAAGCATTATAGAAGAATATGTCAGATACTACTCACCCACTCCCAAAACTGGATTGTTCATTTTGTGTTCCCGAAAAATAAAAGCATAAGATTTATGAAAGCTACCGACATAACTGAAACTTAAATATTACACATAATTCTCAAATATATTATTGGTAATGTGACTATTTTTTTACGATTAATAACTCAACCAAACTCCAATAAATTAAACTTTTATATATACAGGGGGATTGGGGGGGGGGGTACAATTTAGACTACTGGCGCCTCCTATGCATGAGAAGTTTGTCCACTGCTGTGTCACCAGTACCTTATATTGTCCAACATGGCGTGATCTACCACCGGGCATGCGATCCTCTCTTATAGCTGAAACAATACAAATCAACAGCATTTCACTAAATCGTGCAGCACAAAAGAGAAAAAATAACTAAATACCCATGGCGGCATACCCCTTAAGTTGTAGCGACAAAACCTGTTCTGAATGTACTAGAAATGGTATTTTTGTAAACTTTTTGATCGAGTTACTCTTCCGCTATCCCCCTACCAACCACACACAATAAAATAAAATATAAGAAAATAAAATAAAATAATTTGCATGTGTAGCTCACCTCCTTTGTTCATTCCAATCTTAAGACACTGGGACAGCCGGCAGTACTGACAGCGGTTTCTAGACCTTTTGTTCATAACACACCGACCGTGGTTTTTACATTTATAGGTGGATCTATTCAGCACTGAACGCATGAAAAAACCTGACGGTCAAAAAAAGGGAAAAGAACACTTTTAGATGCATCAGGACAATGCAGAGTCCTTGACTCTTAAAGCACGATACCTGGCAGAAATATTGTGAGATTTGATCAGGCATAAAAACGAGGTTTTCATGTTTACGAGGTTTCTCTTCTATTTTCATTATAAATCTTCTTCGAGGTTCCATAATTCTGTAATTATTTAGACCAATTCGCAATTGCCACTTTAATAAAACCCTACCAGTGTCATCGTGATTCTTTTCAATTTATATCCCTCCAAACCAATACGCCATTATCATATGATAGGTCTTCAACCAGTAAATGCCGTCACGCGATGTAAAAAATTTCTTGTGACCGGAAGACTTTACCTTTGCACCCCTCACACGACAGCACGCCGTAATGCAGCCCCGTCGCCTTGTCTCCACATATGAGGCACTGACGGGAGGGGACCGGGGGCAACTCAGGCGAACACGTGCCCGTGGGCGTTGTCGAAGTTGAACTCTCACTAGTAGAAGCATCTAAAAAGAAAATTCCACAAGTTATAGTAAATGATCTTTAAGGACTGGTCTTCAAAATATAAGATTCTTTTGATCTCGTATTAATTTATGTTATTTTTCTTTTATCTCCATTCAATTACCTTACAGATCAACATGTTCAAATTCACTCTAAAGGGTTTTTGTTTTGTTAGGTGCAACAGTCACGAGAAAATTGTGTCCAATCTTACCGCTGATTAAAAGTAACTTTAAATATACAAACCATTAAAGATTTAAACGCGAACCCGCTGAACACACAACCGCTATGAATGTATATACGATGCTATTGTATACGCCTCTATATAACATTATTCTGTCCTGATTGACCTGACTGATCTTCCCAGAAACGAGGCTTATTTGCATATCTAGGTTACAAATGCGGTTAACGACCACAACTTAAAAAAAAACCTGCGGCGAGGGATCTTCACCTTGGTATTTATGAGCGTAAAAGAAGCAATACTAATAAACTTGAACGCTAAATGCACACATCTAGGGTATGTCTGATAGTAGCGATGTTTTTGCAAAATATAGATATCCAAACGGCAAGCTCCCTCACTGTGCGGCCAACGACCTGCCGGGGACACAATGAGGTCAACGCACATGAGTGCTCATATGGCGGCTATTGATTTCAATGCCGACTTTCTAGATGTCAGTGACCTGCGGTGAATGACTTACTATGTCATGTTACCGGTACTCGAGCTCTCATATACGCAAGTTAGTTCAACATTTAGTAAATAGTGAAACATAAAGTGCTCGGTAAATGCATTTGAGTACATAAAAGTCAGCTATTGTTGATTTAATAAAAGAGCTCTGGTTGCGTAAATTCTTTTTTTTTTTTTTGACACTTGAGATAATCATTTTTTTCACAATTGTAATGATCTGAAAAGAAGGAATGCCTGAAAGGGTAGAAAAACCGGTAGCATGCAATGGAGTTTGAAGGATCCCACTTTGATAAACTTGAAAAAAAAAAGACCACTTACGTAAAAGGTCACTGTTCTGTGACAGCCACACACACAAAAAAAATCACAAGCGGAATCCTTGCAGTTATTTTTACCTACAGTGGGAGGAGCAAGCATAATGTCAGATTTAACGCACGAGCTTGGCCTTTACCACTTGCAGTGAGTGATATAAGAGCGGTCGTTGCTCCCGGGATATTACAATGCCCGACACTGTATAGTATACGATACACGCACAAACCGCATGCAATTTCACCTACGGGTGTTTACCCCGCCGTTTGTTAGGTGAAAGACCCATGATGGTGCTGAAAGATTCTAATAATACCATTAAAGCCATTGCCGTCTGTAGAAAATAGCGTGCGGGCAAAAGAGATAATCACCAGGTGAAAACTCCGTCGGTCGCTTACCTAAGGAACTCAACCTGGTAGTACAAGCAAAAATTGCTAAAAAAAAAAAAACAAAATACGAAAAAATTTGATTAGTTCCCCAGGGAAATCTATTGTTGGGTAAATCCCAAGGAGTAGCCCTTTAAACAATCATGTATATCCAACAACTTTGTTATGTGACAATGCCTTGTGGTTTACTGGTTTACCTCGTCGTTTACTGGATGAAAGAAACGAGAAAGTGTAAGGAGCGCGTACTGCAGCACAAATAAAATAGAAATTTGAGAAGAGAGGTGAAAAAATTGTGTTTTTAAAATCCTACGCACTGTCAAAGGGCGATGTTCGTTTACAGTGAAACCAATGAGCTACATATATGTACACCAGCAGATCATTCAAATGATTTTAATTTAAAAAAACGGTTATTTTGATCTGCGGCCTTAGTTATTAAAAGTAGCGAAATCATAAATCATGATGAACACAGCGTGAACGCCAGGTCTATAGACAACAATGTAAAGTCTCGGGTTCTTTTTCAGACAAAGTGGACCTCTTTCCCCTTTTTCTGTATTCTACTCAATGCCAGAAGGAGTTGTTTTAATCTGTTAAACTGACTGCATTCAGCGAGAGTCCCTACGAAGCTGGATCGATCTTGGTTGACCGATAGTGTCTTTGGAAATGAGCCCTATAAAAAGGGGCTGCAGCGGCGCCTTCCTCAAGTTCACGGCTAATGACTGTTTTGCACCTGCGTAGGAAGTGGCGTTGCCCTAGTTCTTAAAAGTAGGTCGATCGTTAGTTCACGCGTTCCTTGTCAAGGTGACCTGAACTTGTCTGGCCGCGGTCAACGACCGGTAGAACAACCAATGAACTACAGTCCACTTTCCCCGAGCTCTGGTATGCTTACAGTCTTCTTATGAATTTTTCATGTCATACATACATAGTAGGCCTACAGGTGTATTACCGCACATATACTAGTATTTACTTCTTATAAGTCGCTGCGGGAAAAGATATTTAATGTCGCAAAGCCTATTATAAAAGATAACAAAACAGCTATATATATATATATATAAGGCCTAAGCTGCTCCATAATTTCCATCATATCGATACACATGTAATTGTACATGCCATGTGGCTTGAATGATTTTTGGAGCCTGCATTCTTCTTACTAACCTGACCGTCGTCTTTTCGCTGGTCTCCTTGTGCTGACCACACCGGCGTCTGTTTCCTTCCCCTCACTGGACCGCCTTGTAGGCCTACTGGCCGTGTCACAAATACTAGGAGCTCCACGGCCACAGCGATTGTTTGTATCAGGGCCCATTGTACCGGGCTCTTGTTCTGGCTCTATATGTCAGTATGATCGCAACCGTCCCCGCTGGATCCTCTACGTATTGTCCTTCTGGTCCCAGGTCCTACCAAGAAGGTGTAAAATTACCTCTGCTTCATTGGATTTAATTAACTCTGTGCAACTGAATTAAGTTCGTGTTTTTGCCGTGTTACCGTCTAGTATTCAGCTCGTAGCATTCCGTGCACCACTTGTGATCTTACCAGTAATACATTGAGATTATATTTACTGGTAGATATTCTTGTTTATAAAGGACTACTATAAAAAGTGAACATTTTCAACTGTCGGAAATGTTCTCCCTGTGAGTTGTACTTCGTGTCTGTTTCATCATTTTGCATTGTACTACCAGATACCTTTAAAACAAGCTACCTTTAAAACGCCTTCCTCTACGGCTGCACTGTATATAGCCCTAGTGACAGACAGACAGACAATATCAAACTTCTCCGTTTTGATTACCCTATTATGTACAGGGTACATGTATAGGAAATAAAGACAAGTAAAATCCTCGCTCCCGTTGCTCGCATTGAGAGGTTGACTGTGAAAAGTATTTCTTCTTTAACTGCTGGCGAGGAGATGACTTGGTAAAAAAAAATATTGTTAAAATAGGTGACGCTATATTTATAACGAGTCAATGAACTTGTACTTGCACCAGGTTAGAGACGAGGGTGAATGTCCTCGAGCTCGCGTAGAAATACCTGTACATACCACCTTATATTCCTCAGAAGTCAGTCATATTAAATGTCATTTATCAAACTATATTTCATGGCTTTAATTGAATTAACATAATTTTTTGCTTGGATTTATTGTTGGTTGTGCTCAGCCTACACGAATATAAAAATAAAACGTTTGATTAGAACTATTTCTCTTAACGGAGGGTTATACGCGTGATGTGTACTTGACCTAACGAGGGCAAGACGTCACACAAGCATTTACTCCGTACAGTGACCCTCATTGTATCTATGGGCCTAAACTAATGCAGTAAAAGTGCGGTAATTACATGATTTATTTAAGTGTCTAATATTCCACTGTGGAGGTATAATGCTCCATAAATTGTGCCATCGAAAACGGCACCTGTGCTGTGCTGTATGCGTACTTAAAAAAGTACCTCAGTGCGCGCTAGGTCATGTTGACCCAGGACGATTTGCAAGCAATGTGCGTACACTGCCTTTGTTAATAATACACCGTTTCACACGTTGATTTCAAACAGAAGATCTTAGATGTATTTTTTTTCATTTGCGTGTTTCTATCTCATCTGCTGGTGACATAATACTTTTTTTATAGTAGACTACCAGCAATTCATGCAGTTACAAACACATTCATATAGTTATATTTCATTTTTTAAGCAGAGACCATTGCACTCGATTGAAATAATCCCTAATAGATATGAAATTGACATTATTTTCAGTCTTTTTTGGGACTTGAGTTCCATCACTAACCTGACCGTCGCCTTTTCGCTGGTCTCATTGTGCTGACCATACCGTCGTCTGTGTCTTTCCTCTCAATGGACCGACTTGTACTGGCCGTGTCACAACCGTTAGGTGCTCCACGACCACAGCGATTGTTTGTGTCAGGGCCCATTGTACCGGCTTCTTGTTCTGGATTTATGTCAGTATGATCGCGACCGCCGGCAGAACTGCCGGGGCCTGTCCCCGCCGGGTCCACTACTGCCCTTCTGGTCTCAGATCCTACCAAGAAGGTGTATAATTTCCTCTGCTTCATTGAATTTAATAAACTCCGTGCAACTGATTCAAGTCGGTGTTTGTGCCCTGCTACAGTCTTGTATTCGGATAGTAATATTCCGTGCACCTCCTGTGATCTCACCAGTATTACTGGGAGGTTATTATTTATATACTGTGTACTTGTTTATATAGGCCTACTATAAAAAGTGGACAACATTAACTGTCGGAAACGTGCTCCCTGTGCGTTGTTCGTGTCCCGTTTCATCAATTTGATACTTTTATCATTTAGCATAGTACTACGAAATATCTCAAAACAAGCTATCTTTGAAACGTTTTCCTTTATACATGCACTGTACGCACAGTGTATTCATAGTCCTCGTGATAGACAACAACAAACTTCTCTGTTTTAGAAAAACTCTTATGTACATGTACATGTACCGCTATAGGTAACAAAGGCAAATAAAATCCTATCGTTTCCTGTTGCTCTTGATGAGAAATTGGCTATGAAAAGTATATCTGCTTTAACTGCTGGCTACGAGATGACTAGGTTAAAAAAGAATATTGTTAAAATAGGTGACGCTATATTTATATTAAGTCAATGAACTCCTACTGCACCAGGTTAAAGACGGGGGTGAATGTCCTCGAGCTCGCGTAGAAATACCTGTACAAAGCAACATATATACCTCAAAAGTCAGTCATTTTGAACATGTAATTTATCAAAACTATTTCATGGCTTTAATTGAATGAAAATATTTTTATTGCTTGGATTGGTTTTATTTGGCGTAGGCGAATATAAGAAAATGTCTCGTCTGGTTCGATCTATTTGTATTAGCGGATGAATATGTGCGTGATGTGTACTTGACCTGACGAGGGCAACTTGGCAAGACGTCACACAGACATTACAGTACAAGCAATCCGTACAATGACCCTCAACGTATTTGTGGGTCTAAAATAATGCAATAAAAAGTGTGGTAGTTTCCTGATTAATACAATATTCAGGAGGAATAATGCTCCATAAAGTGTGCGATCGAAAACGTAATGAGTACAGCACTGTATCTGGCCTTAAAAAATGCGTACCATAGTGCGAGTTGTACTAGTAGGTCATGTTGACCCCGGTCGATTTCCAAGTAATATACTTCCATTGCCTTAGTTAACAATACACCATTTATCAGAGAGTTGGATCTTTGATTTCAAACAGAGTATCTTGTGTGTAACTCTTTTTATTTTCACCCTGCGTGTTTCTAACTCATTCGCCAGTGACATAATCTCATGCATTCGCGGTCGTTCTGTATGCCTACACTGCATGATTAATGATGGAGGCACATGAACCAGTACTTTTATCGCTGTTTTATTATCGTGAGGTTGACTTTCTCTAGAAAATACAAAGTGGAACAGCTTTAGGTCATTTAATCTCGTATTCATTCACATGCTATATACGCTGTATAATACACCTATCACTGGTGCATGTGTTCCCTGTGTTTTTAGTGAAAAAAATCAAGCTGTGTTACTGGGTACGTGTGCCCTGATTAACACAGCCCCTTGTAGCCAGCAATTTCAAAAGGGGAGTTCTTTTTTAAAAAAAGTGGGCCTTTTCCCATAAAAACTTCATGTCCCTAGATCAAATTTTACCCAGAGTGGACCTTTTCCCAGCAAAAGGGGCGATTCTTTCGAACAAATTAAACTGCAATTAACGTCGCCTGTACGTCAAGTTCACGGTTATTACCCGCTTGGCTCGTACGAGGCTGCATGTGCCCTGCTTCTCTAAGTAGGTCGTGAGTTCACGCACCCTTGTCAAGGTGAACCAAACATGTCAACGACCGACATTACAGAGCGGCTTGATAGAATAACCGATATTTCTGTATTTCAATGAACAATCAGTCTAGCTTTTCAAGCAACATGCTTACTATCTTCTTTTCCTTATTATCACTGCATATAAATTAATTCCCCTCTGTCGCTGTGCATAAAATACATGTACTTAATGGCGCAAAACCTATACATATCAATTAAATAGCACAGCAACCAAACAACTCTATAATTCTCTTTTGTAAAGCAGATCTGTTTGGATGAGAGCATGATCGACTGACAGAGTTATAAGGCAGTACATGACTCAAACAATTTAATCTAGGTGCGGGTTGTCACCTAATTTGGCACAAAATTTAACGCAGGTTGACCATTGACCCGACTGAACTTGAAATTAAAATTTACACACACACACACACATGCACGCACGCATGCACACACACTCTGTATGACTCTAACTTTTGTTTGCTACACCTAACACTAAGGCTTTGAATATAAGCATACGTGTATGTGTATGTGTAGAACCTGTAGAACTTACATGTACATGCTGTCATTCCCTTCGACTGTGTTTATTACAACGGCTTTTTTCTAGACAAACAAAAAAATTAGGGACCCTATGACTGGGTTCCCCTACCTAGATCGACCTAACAGGATCGATCCATCTNCCCCCCCGGACGTGCTCACAATCCGCAAGAGAACTGCCATGTGGCTTGAATGATTTTTGGAGCCTGCATTCTTCTTACTAACCTGACCGTCGTCTTTTCGCTGGTCTCCTTGTGCTGACCATACCGGCGTCTGTTTCCTTCCCCTCACTGGACCGCCTTGTAGGCCTACTGGCCGTGTCACAAATACTAGGAGCTCCACGGCCACAGCGATTGTTTGTATCAGGGCCCATTGTACCGGGCTCTTGTTCTGGCTCTATATGTCAGTATGATCGCAACCGTCCCCGCTGGATCCTTTACGTACATGTATTGTCCTTCTGGTCCCAGGTCCTACCAAGAAGGTGTAAAATTACCTGTGCTTCATTGGATTTAATTAACTCTGTGCAACTGAATTAAGTTCGTGTTTTTGTCGTGTTACTGTCTAGTATTCAGCTCGTAGCATTCCGTGCACCGCTTGTGATCTTACCAGTAATACGTGGAGATTATATTTACTGGTATATTCCTGTTTAAAAAGGCCTCCTATAAAAAGTGAACATTATCAACTGTCGGAAATGTTCTCCCTGTGAGTTGTTTGGTCGTGTCTGTTTCATCATTTTGCATTGTACTACCAGATGCCTTTAAAACAAGCTACCATTAAAACGCCTTCCTCTACACATGCAGTGTATATAGCCCTAGTGACATTCTGACAGACATCATCAAACTTCTCCGTTTTGATAACTCTATATACGGTACATGTACATGTACATGTATAGGAAATAAAGACAAGTAAAATCCTAGTTCCCGTTGCTCTCATTGAGAGATTGACTGTGAAAAGTGTTTCTTTTTAGGCCCTAACTGCTGGCGAGGAGATGACTAGGTTAAAAAATAATATTGTTCAAATAGGTGACGCTATATTTATATTGCGTCAATGAACTTGTACTTGCACCAGGTTAGAGACGGGGGTGAATGTCCTCGAGCTCGCGTAGAAATACCTGTACATACCACCTTATATTCCTCAGAAGTCAGTCATATTGAATATGTTATTTATAAAATCAATTTCATGGCTCTAATTGCATGAAAATATTGTATTGCTTGGATTGGCTGTTGGTTGTGCTCAGTCTACACGAATATAAAGAATGAAACGTTTGATTAGAACTATTTCTCTTAGCAGAGGGTTATACGTGTGATGTGTACATGACCTAACGAGGGCAAGACGTCACACAAGCATTTACTCCGTACATTGACCCTCATCGTATTTATGGGCCTAATGCAGTAAAAATGCGGTAATGACATGATTTAATTTAGTGTTTAATATTCCACTGTGGAGGTATAATGCTCCATAAATTGTGCCATCGAAAACGGCACCTGTGCTGTGCTGTATGCGTACTTAAAAAGTACCTTAGTGCGAGCTAGGTCATGTTGACCCAGGACGATTTACAAGCAATAATGATTGTACACTGCCTTTGTTAATAATACACCGTTTCACACCGAGTTGGATCTTTGATTTCAAACAGAAGATCTTAGATGTATTTTTTTTTCATTTGCGTGTTTCTATCTCATCCGCTGGTGACATAATACTTTTTTTAAAGTAGACTACCAGCAATTCAGTTACAAACACATTCATAGATAGTTATATTTCATTTTTTTAAGCAGAGACCATTGCACTCGATTGAAATAATCCCTAAGAGATATGAAATTTACATTATTTTCAGTCTTTTTTGGGACTTGCGTTCTATCACTTTCACTAACCTGACCGTCGCCTTTTCGCTGGTCTCATTGTGCTGACCATACCGGCGTCTGTGTCTTTGCCCTCACTCGACCGACTTGTACTGGCTGTGTCACAACCGTTAGGTGCTCCACGACCACAGCGATTGTTTGTGCCAGGGCCCATTGTACCGGGTTCTTGTTCTGGATTTATGTCAGTATGATCGCGACCGCCGGCAGGACTGCCGGGGCCTGTCCCCGCCGGATCCACTACTGTCCTTCTGGTCTCAGATCCTACCAAGAAGGTGCATAATTTCCTGCTTCATTGGATTTAATAAACTCCGTGAAACTGGTTCGAGTCGGTGTTTTTGCCTTGCTACAGTCTTGTATTCAGCTCGTTATATTCCTTGCACCTCCTGTGATTTCACCAATAATACTGGGAGGTTATTATTGATATACTGAGTACTTGTTTATATAGGCCTTCTAAAAAAAGAGGACAACATCAACTGTCGGAAATGTTCTCCCTGTGAGTTGTTCGTGCACTGTTTCATCAATTTGATACTTTTATCATTTAGCAAAGTACTACAAAATATCTCAAAACAAGCTATCTTTGAAACGTTTTCCTCTACACATGCACTGTACGTACAGTGTATACATAGTCCTCGTGAGAGACAACAACAAACTTCTCTGTTTTAGAAAAACTCTTATGTACATGTAGGCCTACCGGTATAGGAAATAAAGAAAAGTACATGTAAAATCCTAGTGTTTCCTGTTGCTCTTGATGATAAATTGGCTATGAAAAGTATATCTGCTTTAACTGCTGGCTACGAGCTGACTAGGTTAAAAAAGAATATTGTTAAAATAGGTGACGCTATATTTATATTAGTCAATGAACTCCTACTGCACCAGGTTTAAGACGGGGGTGAATGTCCTCGAGCTGGCGTAGAAATACCTGTACAAAGCAACTTATATACCTCAAAAGTCAGTCATTTTGAACATGTTATTTGTCAAAACTATTTCATGGCTTTAATTGAAGGAAAACATTTTATTGCTTGGATTGGTTTTATTTGGCGTAGGCGAATATAAAAAATGTCTCGTCTGATTCGATCTATTTGTATTAGCGGAGGAATATGTGCGTGATGTGTACTTGACCTGACGAGGGCAAGACGTCAAACAGGCATTACAGTACAAGCAATCCGTACAATGACCCTCAACGTATTTGTGGGTCTAAAATAATGCAATAAAAAGTGTGGTAGTTTCCTGATTAATACAATATTCAGGAGGAATAATGCTCCATAAAGTGTGCGATCGAAAACGTAATGAGTACAGCACTGTATCTGGCCTTAAAAAATGCGTAGGGCCTACCATAGTGCGAGTTGTACTAGTAGGTCATGTTGACCCCGGTCGATTTCCAAGTAATATACTTCCATTGCCTTAGTTAACAATACACCATTTATCAGAGAGTTGGATCTTTGATTTCAAACAGAGTATCTTGTGTGTAACTCTTTTTATTTTCACCCTGCGTGTTTCTAACTCATTCGCCAGTGACATAATCTCATGCATTCGCGGTCGTTCTGTATGCCTACACTGCATGATTATAATGATGGAGGCACATGAACCAGTACTTTTATCGCTGTTTTATTATCGTGAGGTTGACTTTCTCTAGAAAATACAAAGTGGAACAGCTTTAGGTCATTTAATCTCGTATTCATTCACATGCTATATACGCTGTATAATACACCTATCACTGGTGCATGTGTTCCATGTGTTTTTAGTGAAAAAAATCAAGCTGTGTTACTGGGTACGCGTGCCCTGATTAACACAGCCCCTTGTAGCCAGCAATTTCAAAAGGGGAGTTCTTTTTTAAAAAAAGTGGGCCTTTTCCCATAAAAACTTCATGTCCCTAGATCAAATTTTACCCAGAGTGGACCTTTTCCCAGCAAAAGGGGCGATTCTTTCGAACAAATTAAACTGCAATTAACGTCGCCTGTGCGTCAAGTTCACGGTTATTACCCGCTTGGCTGCGAGGCTGCATGTGCCCTGCTTCTCTAAGTAGGTCGTGAGTTCACGCACCCTTGTCAAGGTGAACCAAACATGTCAACGACCGACATTACAGAGCGGCTTGATAGAATAACCGATATTTCTGTATTTCAATGAACAATCAGTCTAGCTTTTCAAGCAACTTGCTTACTATCTTCTTTTCCTTATTATCACTGCATATAAATTAATTCCCCTCTGTCGCTGTGCATAAAATACATGTACTTAATGGCGCAAAACCTATACATATCAATTAAATAGCACAGCAACCAAACAACTCTATAATTCTCTTTTGTAAAGCAGATCTGTTTGGATGAGAGCATGATCGACTGACAGAGTTATAAGGCAGTACATGACTCAAACAATTTAATCTAGGTGCGGGTTGTCACCTAATTTGGCACAAAATTTAACGCAGGTTGACCATTGACCCGACTGAACTTGAAATTAAAATTTACACACACACACACATGCACGCACACATGCACACACACACTCTGTATGACTCTAACTTTTGTTTGCTACACCAAACACTAAGGCTTTGAATATAAGCATACGTGTATGTGTAGAACCTGTAGAACTTACATGTATATGCTGTCATTCCCTTCGACTGTGTTTATTACAACGGCTTTTTTCTAGACAAACAAAAAAATTAGGGACCCTATGACTGTGTTCCCCTACCCCCTAGATCGACCTAACAGGATCGATCCATATCCGAGGGGTTTCTCGCTAAATTGATTTTTAGCTTAAGCGGCTTAGATGTCTGGCACGCCCACTGCAGCTGCTTAACGATACTGTACTTAATTACCCCCTAGCAGCTCCAGTAGGCGTGACAGACATTTTTTTCTTTTTTTTTTCCTTTTTGAGAAAAAAAATTACCTCTGAGAGCAAAAGAGTTTTGGTGTTAGACAATAAAGAATCTTGCGGAACGCTATTTCCTAAAACAATTTGCAATTCTTTATAAGAAAGTGTAATATATTAAAAATTTTAAGCTACATTTTTTTCACTGTACGATTTTTTTAATTCACTTAACAGATAACGTTCATTTGAAATTATCAAGTAATTTTCTTTACGTTCCTACTTTTAGCATCGCCTTTGATATGACGTCATAAGCAGACGACTGCGCGCAAACGGAATCCACTGTCTTTAATTCATGTTGCGATTTTGCAAGTATTTCGCATAGAAACGATAATCTGAATAATTTTAGGTAATTTTGGTAGCGACATGATCGCAAAAGGAACAGGATGATCAAGCTAATACGATCAGCTGGTCATTTTGGTGGAAATATTTCACACCATTTCCTATTGTCAGTACTTGTTTTGGCCATTGCTCGAGGCGGTAAGTTTTCAATTTATTTCGAATGTTTTGGAAATTCAATTTATCAACAGCTTTTGGGTTTGTAGATACATTAAACTCAGTGATTTGTTTTCAGAGTTTGATTTTGATGTGACTTGTTGTAGGAATTTTCAAAAATTTTGAGCTATTAGATTTTTACATCGATTGTTTACCGTTGTCAAGGACGTGACTGCAATATATATAGCAGGACCAAGAAAATGCTGATAAAATAAAAGTAGAAGCATAATAAGATGATTGATTCATTGATTTATTTGGATTTCAATCTCAGGCTTTGGCCTTCCATTGCCTCGTGCCAATTCTGAATCCAGCGGTATGGGCCAAGCTAGAAAGAATCCCAGCTCAGGCCCAATTTATAACATTTATGTGGAAAATGATATATTGCCACATGCTCAAGCAACAGGTGAGGCTCTGAGGAATAAACAATCACCAGTGATTGTTAGGTGAAACAAATATCGTAGCTCGTAGTTTTTAGTTTTTTTAAACCACTGTTAAAGTGTTTTGCTTTCTCTTGCATGTTTTCTTTTCCATTTCCTTCCCTAATAACAATTATATCCTTTATTTTCTGTCTCTATCTTAATTTTCCTAATTTTAATTTATCTATTTTATCTGTTAACATTGTTACACTTCTCTCTCTCTCTCTTCTTTTTTTTTTTTTTTTTTTTTGCTTTACTTTGCCTTGCTTGTTTTTTTTTTTTTTTTTTTGCTCTTTAGTTTCATCTGTTCCTTTGCATGGAGTAATGAGTGGCAGCTTAATCCATTTTGTTATTTACATTCCACTACCTACATTTACTNATTTACAAATTGCGTTCCAATATATTTTGTTGTGATTCAGTCTTGGTAAATTATATATGACGTAAGAATATTTATAATTTATTTTTTATTTTTAAACTGTAACTCAAGGGGCTTTGTGCCTGGCTAATACTACACTAAACATGTAAATATTTGAAGAGCATGCCCGTGACCTCATTTGCACCTCTGTATTGGGTCTGTACATAAAAAAGTGCTGCCTTGTTAATCTTACTTTAGTAGCACGCAAATTCACCATAAAGGACTGAAGATCATGAAGATGCAACATATAAGTACTTTGCGTCAGTTTTCGGTCTGACATGCTTAGTTTACATGTGAGGCCGAAAACTTAGTAAAATAAGTATAACTAGCTTACTCTTCTTTGCAATCGGATGCATCAGCTATCTCTTGTGAGGTTTTCGGTTGATCAAATTTCCCCAAGATATCAAACAGCTTCAGCTCGTAACCCACGGCGATAAAGATACTGGTGTGGCCGTTTGATATCAAGGATCCAAGATTCTCCCTGAAAGATTCAGCTGTTTCCATTTTTAAAGATTTTGTGCAACTGTTTACCGGCTGGTTTAGTCTGGTGTACGAGTTCAAGGCCAGCACCGTGTTTACCTCCTCGCTGTAGTAAACATATCGATTTTGTCACATCGAGGCTAAAGCGCTGTTTGACCACGGTTAGCCTAGTTTTTTTTTTTTTTTTGCTTTACTTTGCCTTGCATGTTCTTTTTTCTTTTTCTTTGCTCTTTAGTTTCATCTGTTCCTTTGCATGGAGTAATGAGTGGCAGCTTAATCCATTCTGATATGTACATTCCACTACCTACATTTACTGCTAGTGGCTCAGTTGTGCACAACACATTGCTTTTGAGTGTATTCCTTATCCCCTTTCTCATCCTACTGCCTGTAGTGATGATTAAAAGGCGAAGGAAGGTACTAACCTTAACAGTTTATAGCATTAATTTTCCCTTTTTTTTGTGTGGGGAAGGGGGGTGTCTTTAAAGTAAACTTTGTTTTGCAAACAAGTTAAAATAAATTAAACTTTATCTCACAATTATTGTTGGAATCAAATGTTTATAAAAGATTTTCCATGTTTTTAGATGATTATTCTGAAAGCTGTCAGAACTATTAATTGGCCAATAAAACAGAAATTATTTTGGTTCTGTATACTGATAAGGTCTCAACATAATTTCGTTTGTTTTGTTTTGCTTTTTTTGAAAATGAGTACGCCTTTTTTGTGTAATTTTTTATGCATATAAATGATATAATATACAAACCTCTTTTTACTTTATCTTATTTTCATTAAATTTATCTTCAGTCCAAAATAATTACCATCCCTGCTGAGTCTGGAACAGACTATGCCTACATCATGACTGTAACAACTGGACTTAGGAAAGGTAAGCCATATCATTTCTGCCATAAATACTTAGTTGTCAAGATAAAACTCATCTCTGTAATATCATTTTTTTAAAGAGTAAATGCTTATAAGTATATGGACACATTAGCAAATGTTAATATAAAATGCACTTGTTACTGAATTTCATATTTTTAAAAAATTAAAAAATAGATATTAAACAACTTGTAGAAAAGATTTGGGGTGTGTATCCATTATATGATTCAAATTATTTGATACCTATTTATATTATATCTTCAATCTTCTTACTATCTTTTTCTGTGTTTTTTCTTTCCAGATGCAGGCACTAATGCCAAAATAGATGTTCAGTTGTACAGTGAGACCAGCTCCTCAGCAAGGTACCGACTCTCAGCCTATGACACTGAACAGCCAATACTGAAACGTGGGAATAAGGACATGTTTCTGGTCTACACACAAGGTAAACTGGGAAATACGATAATTTTAATTTAACAGATGGTATCATCTGCATCTCTTAGCTCTGTTACCATTATGATTTAAAAATCTTCCCACAATAGTAAATGTTTATGAGAATTTTTTTATATAATAATAAAGTGAAACTGAGAATTATTTTTGCAGCTCCCCTTGGAAAAATGTCCCATGTGGTCATCAATCAGAAAGGAAAGGGGAAGAAAGCCAAATGGTGAGTTCTTGCTTCATTTTTTCTTTATTTATCTTTTCTCCCAAATAACTATTACTCTTTTGCTCTTTTTAGTAATGGTAAAAGTATTACTGATTTTTAAAATTCACGCAGACTACTTTTATGGCTAACACAATGTGAAAGAAAAGTTAAAACTTTTAAGCCCATTTTAAAAGTTTAGTAAAATATAACAGTGTGTAAATTAGGCATAAAAGCAACAGCTTAGTATTAGCAGTGTAATTAGCTCTGAAATCATGATACTGATTCATCAAATTTGGTTGGAAAATGTTTTATTTGTAATACGCAAGAAAGACATTTCAAAAAATTTTATTAAAGTGTAGAGGTTTCAAATCAGAAATAATGTTTTTGTGAGGCATTTAAAATTTCTGAGCAATTTTCAAAATTTAAATGTAAAGACCATAATGAGTGTACATGAAGTGTGTTGCTGATCTCCCTTCAGGCACCTGGACAACATCAAGCTGTATGATCCCCTGGAGGAGCAGGAGTGGACCTTCCCATGTAATATCTGGCTTAAACCAGCACACAATGGAGGGGAGGAGACCCACTGTGTATGCTTCCAGAGTGAGCAGACACGCACCAGGTCAGTCACAACATGGGACTCTTAGTCAGGGGGAATGTTAGCTGCAATGCTTGCATGTATATATTCACTTTGCTTACTGTTATTTCCTTAACAAGAAAGAAATGTAGTTGTAAAATGTCTGTTAGACTTAAGGGGGGGCTATTTTTTAAGGAAGCTTCCCTTTAAATGTCAATGTTCCAAAATGAGTGCTGGGGATATTCAGCAAACCATTGTTGCCGTGATTGTGTTTGTGAGAGACTAGAGCAACTACTGCAATTGATGCTCAGGGCATTGTAGAAAAATAATGCTGTGTGTGTTTAACCATGTTATTAACATGCATTTATTGTCCATTTCTGCTTAACAAATGTCACAGGGTCTATTTCTACGCATTGCTAGAAATAAATTACAGTAATTAAAGTGAGTGAATAAAATAAAAAAAAATATTGATAAAAATATAAATAAATTATAGACTAAGATAAATAAAAAAGATAAATCAATAAAATAAAATTAATCAAGACTGTAGTGAACTTGTTATGAGTGTAAATTGAAGAAGGTTCCCTTTGTTTACATTTCAGTTGGTTGTTCAACACCATCACTTCCAACCTGCTCCAGTTCCACCTGTGGGTCAATGCTGTGTTTGGAGGTCCACGTGAGCACCCCTGCATCCTGTCCCGTCCTCTCACAGTCCTGACCCTGTTCTCCCTATATGTCAACTACCTGCTGGGGAACATCCTGCTCACTGTGGCTTTTCCACAGCCTGCCAGTGGTGAAAAACAGCTGGTGTCTGGGGACCTCTTCATCATTGCATTTGGTGTCCACTTTGTCATCAAGCTGCTCAACTGCCTGGTGGAGTTCACTCTGTGTAACACAGTGACCAAACGCCTCTGCTGGATGTATGATATCCTCAACATGGACCCCCTGGGATGGACTGACAAGCCTGACACTGGTGGGGGAGGAAGAATCAGCATGGCCCGTCAGGCCTGCAGGGATGCTCCCCCAGATGACGAGGAGGCCTTTATTCTCTCTGGAGATGCAGACATTCCAGCCAGTGTTGGTGTGGAGGATGACACCATGGTCTCCATAAGCCATGGCCAGTATCTGGTGGAGGCTGAGATCCATCATGGAGCTTCTCCCAGTGAGGTGCTGGACACTGCAGATATCCCTGTGGAACTGACTTACACAGCTTGTGGTGGGGAACAGAAGCTGGAGGAATTTAAACCCTCAGGTATTTACAGTTATTGAATTGATACCTGTCAATAAATCTTATTGGTGGAAATTTTGTAAAGTTTTCAATATCACAATTATTGGGCAATAACCATATTTCTGGGGTTTAGTATAGGATTAAGAATCTCCCTGGTTTGTCTTACTGATTTCTCGTGTAAGAATCAGCTGATATGAAAAGAAACACCAGCATCATCTATCAGTAAGTAAATATGCAAACACCCTGTATTTCAGCCATTCCTAAAGTGGCCAGGGGCTCTGTGAGTGCCAAGGACTCTCAGCTCAACCTGAGTAACACCCTCCTTGTAGACAAGCCCCAGCCCTTGCTGTCAGCCTGGCAGCCCAGTGATATGCCCTTTGAGGAGATGGATGAAATGCCAACCAAGGCCCTCTCCTCCCATGCCATCATCAGGTATGATAATTACTCTCAAACTCTCCACCCGCATTTCATCAACATTCTAGCTTTAGTATACAAATAAAGAGTAATTCTTTGCCATATTTCATTATTTTTTCACTCCTTCCAGCCCCATTCCCCCATCTGCTGGGCCAGGGAAGAGACAGAGGCGCCACACCATGGTGTTCAACAGGGAGGAGATGCCATTCAGCAGGCAGGTGTCACTGGCCTCCAAGACTGAACTCATGAGGCAGAACCTTGCCAAGAAACGCCTCGGCCACATGGATGTAGAGACCTCCACTGCAAGAGTTTGCCAAGATATCAGACTGCAGAGGTATGTATTACATAAATATATATCTAGTGATAGCTGATGCTGTATTGAGTGATGATTTTAAGATAAGTTAATTACACATGGTGTTTACAATTGTTACACATATAGCAGTTTGTATATAAACATAATATTCAAATAGGAATTTTCAATAAGGCATGAAAATTATGTAAAAGATTTTGCTGATGGCACTTACATACAATTTCAAATTTAATTAAATAATTAAGGTTGGATCACAGTTTAGTTATACATATATGTCATCTCCAAAATACGTCTATAATTTATAATTTTGTATGTTATCTGTTATCATCCCAGGTCACAGTCTGATACCAGCATTTTGCAGACCAATGACAACATTAACAATAGCAATGGCACCAGTGGTGGTCCTGAGACTGGCAACACCAACATGACAGCAAGGTAATGCAGGGGATGGGAAAGGCGACTTATATTTTTATTTTATTATTCTATTTCTTATTTTATTCAGTCATCTTTTGTAATTAATTCATATTTTATTATTATTTTGTTTTATTTGGTTTTTCACATACTGTTCATTTATTTATTTTTGTGAAATCTTTCTTCCAATTACAGAGATGACGCCAGTGCTATTTCTGCCCATGACAACGTTGTACAACAAGGCAGCATGGTAGATGGCGCCATCAACCAGGACAGCATGGCAACTGTGTTTGAGTCTGCCTATGCTGTGCTTCACCTGGAAGATGGTAGGTTGTGTACTTCCTTTTTGCTGTATGTTAAAAAATCTACTTTTGATATAGTACCACATCAGTATCAGTATTGTTGGTCTCTGCATTTTTATTGATATTTGTCTGACTTTGATATACATGTATTCCCTAGTTACATTTAGTGTTATTTGATTAACCTTTCTTTTATTTGCAAATTTCATGTAAATAAAAAAATTAATATTTTAAAAAANGTACAGACACATCTGTGTCTGTACATAAAAATATAAATAAATTATAGACTAAGATAAATAAAAAAGATAAATCAATAAAATAAAATTAATCAAGACTGTAGTGAACTTGTTATGAGTGTAAATTGAAGAAGGTTCCCTTTGTTTACATTTCAGTTGGTTGTACAACACCATCACTTCCAACCTGCTCCAGCTCCACCTGTGGGTCAATGCTGTGTTTGGAGGCCCACGTGAGCACCCCTGCATCCTGTCCCGTCCTCTCACAGTCCTGACCCTGTTCTCCCTATATGTCAACTACCTGCTGGGGAACATCCTGCTCACTGTGGCCTTCCCACAGCCTGCAAGTGGGGAGAAACAGCTGGTGTCTGGGGACCTCTTCATCATTGCATTTGGTGTCCACTTTGTCATCAAGCTGCTCAATTGCCTGGTGGAGTTCACTCTGTGTAACACAGTGACCAAACGCCTCTGCTGGATGTATGATATCCTCAACATGGACCCCCTGGGATGGACTGACAAGCCTGACACTGGTGGGGGAGGAAGAATCAGCATGGCCCGCCAAGCCTGCAGGGATGCTCCCCCAGATGACGAGGAGGCCTTTATTCTCTCTGGAGATGCAGACATTCCAGCCAGTGTTGGTGTGGAGGATGACACCATGGTCTCCATAAGCCATGGCCAGTATCTGTTGGAGGCTGAGGTCCATCATGGAGCTTCTCCCAGTGAGGTGCTGGACACTGCAGATATCCCTGTGGAACTGACTTACACAGCTTGTGGTGGGGAACAGAAGCTGGAGGAATTTAAACCCTCAGGTATTTACAGTTATTGAATTGATACCTGTCAATAAATCTTATTGGTGGAATTTTTGTAAAGTTTTCAATATCACAATTATTGGGCAATAACCATATTTCTGGGGTTTAGTATAGGATTAAGAATCTCCCTGGTTTGTCTTAATGATTTCTGGTGTAAGAATCAGCTGATATGAAAAGAAACACCAGCATCATCTATCAGTAAGTAAATATGCAAACACCCTGTATTTCAGCCATTCCTAAAGTGGCCAGGGGCTCTGTGAGTGCCAAGGACTCTCAGCTCAACCTGAGTAACACCCTCCTTGTAGACAAGCCCCAGCCCTTGCTGTCAGCCTGGCAGCCCAGTGATATGCCCTTTGAGGAGATGGATGAAATGCCAACCAAGGCCCTCTCCTCCCATGCCATCATCAGGTATGATAATTACTCTCAAACTCTCCACCCGCATTTCATCAACATTCTAGCTTTAGTATACAAATAAAGAGTAATTCTTTGCCATATTTCATTATTTTTTCACTCCTTCCAGCCCCATTCCCCCATCTGCTGGGCCAGGGAAGAGACAGAGGCGCCACACCATGGTGTTCAACAGGGAGGAGATGCCATTCAACAGGCAGGTGTCACTGGCCTCCAAGACTGAACTCATGAGGCAGAACCTTGCCAAGAAACGCCTCAGCCACATGGATGTAGAGACCTCCACTGCAAGAGTTTGCCAAGATATCAGGCTGCAGAGGTATATATTACATAAATATATATCTAGTGATAGCTGATGCTGTATTGAGTGATGATTTTAAGATAAGTTAATTACACATGGTGTTTACAATTGTTAGTATTGTTACACATATAGCAGTTTGTATATTAACATAATATTCAAATAGGAATTTTCAATAAGGCATGAAAAATATGTAAAAGATTTTGCTGATGGCACTTACATACAATTTCAAATTTAATTAAATAATTAAGGTTGGATCTCAGTTTAGTTACATATATGTCATCTCCAAAATACGTCTATAATTTATAATTTTGTATGTTATCTGTTATCATCCCAGGTCACAGTCTGATACCAGCATCTTGCAGACCAATGACAACATTAACAATAGCAATGGCACCAGTGGTGGTCCTGAGACTGGCAACACCAACATGACAGCAAGGTAATGCAGGGGATGGGAAAGGCGACTTATATTTTTATTTTATATTCTATTTCTTATGTTATTCAGTCATCTTTATTAATTAAATTATATTTTATTATTATTTCACATACAATTTATTTATTTATTTTCATGAAATCTTTCTTCCTATTACAGAGATGACGCCAGTGCTATTTCTGCCCATAACAACTTTGTACAACAAGGCAGCATGATAGATGGCGCCATCAACCAGGACAGCATGGCAACTGTGTTTGAGTCTGCCTATGCTGTGCTTCACCTGGAAGATGGTATGTTGTGTACTTCTTTTTTGATGTACATGTATGTTAGAAAATCTTCTTTTGATATACTACAATATCAGCATTGATCTTTGGTCACTGCATTTTTATTGATATTTGTCCAACTTTTATATATTCTCTAGTTACATTTAGTGTTATTTGATTAACCTTTCTTTTCTTTTCAAATAAATATAAATAAATCAAATTTTTTTAATATTTAAAAAAATTAACCTTCAGTAAATTTCTTTTACAAAACATAGCTCTCTGTGAAAACATCAATTGTAAAAATTGTTACTTAATTTAATATCATTTCCTTGATTATCGTAATTGAACATGCTTTAATTTCTATTTTTCTTTGGCCCTTTAAANTTTAAGATTTTTCTCATTTTTTGGTGTCTGTTGATTTTCCTTTCGGTCTATGTTTTCAGTCTTAAAGAATGTTTTTATAAAAGGTGGCTTAGTATTAAAACAATAAAAGTATTACTGATATTATTTTCTTTATTATAATTATTATAATGAAATTTGTTTCTTTTTGTCTGGTGTCATTTTTTTGTTAATTTTTAAATACTCCAGATGATGGCAGTCCTGGTGATGACCTCAAAAAACCATCTCTAACATCAACACAGCAGCTAACTGATGCCCAGCTACTTCAGCTAGAGATGGAGGCAACAGGAGAGATGAAGAAGAAACTCCCACATTATGTGCTTTACATCATTATTGTCCTTCTCCTGTGCTCTGTCTTCATCTCTCTGTTCTTCACTGAGATCTACATGATTGAGCTGACCACAGAGAGCTCATACCGCTGGGCCTGTCTTGTCGTGTTTGCTCTGCTGGAGGAGGTGTTCATCTTTGAACCCCTGAAAGTGGCCTCTGTTGTCATCTACAGAGCTGTGTTCCCAGCAGCAAATAATAGATAACTTGTGATACTCTGCTGAATGTCTGAGGATGTAGTTGACTTTTAATGAAAATTTCAATCATCAGCACTGGATTTTTGACAACTTTCGTTTTTTCAATTTTTCACACTGCCAATAGTTTTTCTTCAAAACAAAACAGAATGAAAGCAAGTACTACAAACTGAACTTTTATCTTAGCCTCAAAACCAACATACAATGTTATCACATTGAACATTTTATTAGTACTGTTACTGAAATGAACAATTTATCAGACTGATTGTCTCAAAAAAAAAAAAAAAAAAAAGGTTAAATTTGAGATAATTTCATGTATGTATAATTATGAGAAAAACTACTTACTTCATGTCGTTATCACTCAATGTAAAATTATTTCACTTATTCAGTAAGAAGTTAGATTTTTAAAAAGTTGACAGTTTTTCTTAAATTATGAGCACTAAGTAAGTGATACTATTTTAGGTTATTGGAACCTTAAATTATTTCATTATTTTAAAATTTTTCATCATTTCAATCATAAGGTTTAACTTTGTGACAAAATTGCCAGAAATATTTAATCATTTGAACATTAGCTCTCACAGCCCTGTATGTTAATCATTTTTCCATCATCATCTTGATATTATCTGTTTTTCATTTGTAACTCAGCCATTGCATTTTAGACAAATAAAACTCCTGTATATATTTTAACCTTGTTTCCAATTTTTGTAATTTTCTGAGAAAAACAATTAACCTGGGCATAGGTGTAAATCACTGAAGGGGAATTAAATGGTTCTTTTTCTCAAAAATTAAAACACCCAATATAATTTTTATTTTGTTTTATTATAAAAACTTACAGAATATGTCAAATAAACTGTTAATTTTGTGATCTTTCTAACTGCTATTCATTAACATATCCTGCCAACTGCATGGGGATGTCACTGTTTTTAGGGCCAAACAACGATTAAAATGATAACTTCTTGCCATTTGCATTTTCTGTGCACATTGATTTCTGATCACTTCAGAGGTTGACAAATGACAAGAAAAGTTGAGGTTGTCAAAGTGAATATACCTTTCAACAGCAGAGCAGGCTTTACGATGATCTCATATATATATATATATATATATATATATATATATATATATATATATATGATATTATCAGTATGGGGGGTGTCCACATGTACACCAGACACATCAACACCCCTGCTTCTCTTGTTAAACCCTGAAGTGATCAAAATGCACAGAAACTTCTGCAAGTGAATAGAAATTATCTTATAGTTTTAACTCACATTTTTAGGTCCCAGAAAGTGACATTCCCTTATTATAAGTTGTGCTTCTCTTTTTAAACCCTGAAGTGATCAAAATGCACAGAAACCTTATTACAAGTGAATAAAAATTATTGTAAGTTTTTTTAATAAAAATTAAAATTTTATAAGTCTTTGGGTTTGATCTTAAAGCCTTAGTTTTTTTCCAAGAATATTACTTTAAGCATGATAATTTAATGGCACACAAGGGATTAAAATGCTCGATTTCTGATGTCTATTGATTCTACTCTGGTTCCATAGAGCTACGGAGCCATGTTCTAATGGAATGCAATTATTGGACAAAACAGTTGAATCCAATTGTGCATTTTATACAAACATTGTGCACAAAAAAAACCTACAAAAATTGGATCCTCTTAATTGCTTGCCCTTACTTTAACCCTTTTTGTAAGATAAGTACCCAGTTAATACACTTTAATTACAAATACTGCATTTAAAAAAGTACAACTTCTCAAACATCCTTAACTTATGATAATATTTGTCTTGAAGCTTGCAAGGACCATTATGAATGTAAAGATATTGCAAGATATCTTATCCTTTAAAAACTCTCCTTAAATCGAGTTACAGCATTATGAAAATATACACTCAGTATTATTTTTTAGTTTTAACTGAATACTGCTACAGTAATAATGATATAGACACTAAACTTTTTTTTAAACTTACAAAAATATCACAATTGCAGTCAAAAATCCTGATATGACACTTAATCATTTTGTCAAGTTCCTGACACCCTAAGGCCTTTTTCATGCATTTTATGCAAATAACAATAACCTACACATACTCAATACATTTTTGCAGATAAGAGATGCATTTTTTTGTTGAAAAATAGAATTCTATACAACTGAACAAAATATTTATCATATAAAACATTTATATACATTCACCATGTATCACCAGGCTCACATATGGAATTTTTTTCTTAACACATTATAAATGCATATTTTATGCATAGAAATTACACACACACATGTAAACACGCACACCGAGGACAAACCCAGATCTTACTATTAACAGACAACAAACTGCATCATCCCCTCAACCATTAAGTACTGGTACATGGTTGAGCCACGAGCACCAGATAAAGAAAGCCAGTCCAACATTTCCAAAATATACTTAAATAAGCCTTTATCATATTAAATTTTTAGCCATTATTTAGTATCTTTATCTAAATAAATTCAACACATAAAGACAATCCATGGTACAACTGCCTTCAACACTAGTTCACTTTTTTGTCAAGCATTGTTCTTGGTGTCATAATCATTTTTAATTATTAGTAAATAAAATGGTACAATGAAACCTCTATGTATTACATTTTTGAATAAAGTTTAATCATGATAAAGTCTTCATTCCCATCTCATTGCTTCCAATCTGTGCTGTTTTATAGTCCCATTTTCAGACATGCCCTGGATTGGATTGAATGAGTTCTTTGTTACCTTTGAGATCCACTTCAATTTGATGGTTTCCTTGAAAATTTTTGCATGACCCAATCTCTAAAATGAAAGCAATTTTATGTCCGAGTCAGTTTTCATATTGCAAAAAAAGGATCAGTAAGTCACAAAACAGACTGAAACAAATCCCTTAATTTGCTTACTAGGTTTGATACAGAAAAATTACCTCTTCAATCAAAATACACTTCATGAAACATTTCAATACAAACTCATCTTTCATATAGCTTCCACACCTGATTTCTTTTATTTTTGATTTTTTCTCTTGCTTCTGTTGGCTACAAGCTGGTTCTGACTGTGAACGACTGATCCCAGATGCTGCTCCTTCATTTTCAGTCTTTTCATCACTTGACTTTGTTCCTGAAAGTCAGCATTTTCCTCTTTTACAAAAAAATTCATAATTTGAATTGTAATCGTATTGAATCGTAGTTTTATATTATAACACATATCATAATTTTTTAAGAAGTTCTCTTATCCTTTGAAAACTCTTCTTTAAAATGATATTTTTTACTTTAAAATGAATACTGAATTAATCAAATGGACACAAAAACTTTTTTTGCATTTAATGCAATTTACATCAACCTAAACACACTATTTTATAAATACATAAATAAAAAAAAATGCATTTATCCAATGAGCTAGTCTAAGAAGACTATATAAATTTCTTCACACTGGAATTGTTTGTATTGTTTGTACAGGTCTGCCTACAATTTCTGCACACTGGAATTGTTTGTACAGGTCTGCCTACAATTTCTGCACACTGGAATTGTTTGTACAGGTCTGCCTACAATTTATGCACACTGGAATTGTTTGTACAGGTCTGCCTACAATTTCATTGATTTCCTGCCACCTTCAGAAAGTGCAGATATTCTTTAACAGCGGCAGATACAGGATTATTTGAGAGAGGAGTCCATTTTTCTAGGAATGACAGGCCTTGACAGACCCCCCTGATCCCCCCCCCCCCCCCCCAAAAAAAAAAAAAATCCACTACAGTGCTTTTAGGTAACTCTAACACAATAACCAGGCTATTAAAGTGATAATAACTCTTCGTTTCGGCCAAAAAATGAATTTTCCTGGAGTAAACAACAATTTCCCCATACTTACCAATGGTTAATGAATCCATTTTTACATTCAAAGTTAGTCCCTGGTTTTTTTCTAAAAAGTTTGGTTTTTTGTTAAAATCTCTTAAGAGATTTTAACAGAGTATAGCCATCAATGGAGGTCACGTGGTCTAAAGACAAGCTCAGATATCAGAATAATAGCTATAACAGCCGTTTTTGTGGGAAATTATATTTTTATGAGTCACTCACAATGTTTTTATTGTGAAATACAGATTTCATATGAAGAGTTATTATCCCTTTAAGATGCCAGTGTCTCAATCTGTTGCAGTACAGAACACAGTACCAATCATGATGAAAAAAAAACCTTACTCCTTGCACCACTGGGATTGGAATCCATGTTTACACATGGCGGAGATCCTGGTTGGTGATCTCGAGAAGCTGTGCTATCATCTTCAGTTGACTCAGACCTCCGATGTGCATCAGTCTTACTATCAGCAGTTGAAGACCCTGTTTCGGCACTTAGTCTGGCGTCTGTGAAATTTTAAAATATCCACACTTTACACAGCATACATGGTTACTTTCAGCATATTAAGGGACACACGTAACAGATTTTCATAGAAGTAGCCCTTTCCAGACTATATGCTACAGCTTATAATAATAATATTAATAATAATAATAATAATGACATGAAAAAATGTATTCTCTAAACAATCATTACAATACATTATAAAAATTGTTATACAAACCCAAGATCAGCGATTCAACCTGCTTCGAATCCTGGGGATTTTCAGTGGTTTCAGATGAAGACATTTTTGAGCAGTTTTCTGTCATACTAGGCACAGCATCAGAGGCAGCCTCAAATACAGCAGCAGCAGTTTCTTGGCTTCTCACTCCACTTTGGGCTAGAAAATATATTTGCCAACAGATGAAGCTCTGTCTATGGGACCATTTCCATAACCCCATCCTACAAGCAGGAACGATCTATCTCCGAGGGGTTTCTTGCTAAATAGCATTCAGTTTTAGCATGCACAAAAGTTAAATACCCCCCTAGCAGCTTCATTTGGTGTGCCAGACATTTAAGCTGCTTAAAATGAATGAATGTTATTTGGCAAGAATCTCTTCGGATTCTGCTAGTACAATAGGTTAAGGGGAACCCAGTCATTCCTTTTGAGCCCTCAGATATTTCAGTAAATCCTTTTTTTATTAGACAGTTCTAATATTGTATATATGTAAATACAATCATATATGATATATATATGATTGTATTTACATATATACAAGTGGATAAAAATGGTATTTGCTGTGAAATATTCCATCTCTGCAATATTTTGAATGTTTCACAATACTTATAGTCCTAAAAATGACCAATTTTTTCTGTTACCCAACTCCCCAGCATCTGGCTCACTGGACCCCGGAGAAGATACTACAGACCCAGTCAACACTGCTGATGCCTGTAGACCTGGCAATTTATAAAATTATACAGAAGTATTTAACATGTACATGCAAGTCATACTACCCAGCTGTCTCTTTATCTTTTCTGAGACATTTCTCAAAGTATAACACACACACACACACAAATAGGATTAAAAGTCATGTGAAAACCTTACAATAAATGACAGCATGCATGTACTTTGATGTATTTTTCTGTTACCTGATTCCCCAGCATCTGGCTCACTGGACCCTGGAGAAGATACTGCAGACCCAGTCAACGCCGATGGCTGTAGACCTGATAAAAAAAAATTATTGGTCAAACTGGAATTTTATTTTTTTGTCATTTAAAATTTAAAACTAATCCAGTATTCTACATGATAAGCACATCATACTAGTCAGCTGTCTCTTTATTTTTCTGAGACACTTCTCAAACAAATATAATTATTATAAAATTTTACAGTAAGTTCAATCGAGGACAGAAGATAAATGTTTTAGGTCCTAGGTGTAACATATTCAGGATTTTCCCACAGAAGGGCACCTAAATTTGGGGAAGGGGGTGGCAGTGTTAACGGTATGAACTCTTCTTTTTCAAAAATTTCTACATTCAATTGCACACATTAAAACCTTAAAGGAAATTTTGTTTTAAAAACCAGCTTTTATGGCAGTGACTAGATCTTAATTTGCAATTGGAAATTTTTTTTAAGACAATAGCTTAAATTATAGTAACAATATTCTTATTGAGTGGTGGCACAAAATAGAAAGCAGGGTATCCTACAGTTGTATTCTATACAGTCGAAACACCATAAATGCTGTACAGAAATTTAATTGATATGATACCAAAATCAAGCACTGTAACTAGAAGACTGATATTTTCATTGAAAAGATTGAGTCAATACCATATATATATACCTCTAGTTAAATGATGTGACATGAAAATTCACAAGGCAAATACCAGTGTGCCAGATGCTACAGAAACGGAAAAGGGGGGGGAGTCAAAAAAACCCTGACCCAGGGGCGGATCCAGAGCTATATACTGACAGTCTTCCAAATTATCTTTGTTGATTCATCCTCCAATTTTGACCGTCTTCCAACATTAAAAATTGGATACCCGTCAATGTAAACTTGAAAATCTGACCGTCTTCTGGAAGACCCAGAAGACGGCCTAAATCCGCCCCTGTGACCCCCCACCCCCAAATCCACTACAGTGCTTTTAGGTAACTCTTACACAATGACCAGGCTATTAAGATGCCAGTGACTCAAACTGTTGCTGTACAGAACATTGCACCAATCATGATGAAAAAAAACCTTACTCCTTGCACCACTGGGACTGGAATTCATGTTTACACATGGCGGAGATCCTTGTTGGTGATCTCTACAAGCTGTGCTGTCATCTTCAGTTGACTCAGACCTCTGATGGGCATCAGTCTTACTATCAGCAGATGAAGACCCTGCTTCGGCACTTACTCTGGCGTCTGTGGAATTAAAAAATATCCACACTTTACACAGCATACATGGTTACTTTCAGCATATTAAGGGACAAACGTGTAACAGATTTTCAGAGAAGTATCCCTTTCCAGACTATATGCTACAGCTTATAATAATAATAATAAAATTATTATTATTATTATTATTATTATTATTATTATTATAACATGACAAAATGTATTCTCTAATCATTCATTACAACACACAATACATATTGTTATACAAACCTGATGTCAGCGATTCAAACTGCATTGACTCCTGGGGGTTTTCAGCGGTTTCAGTGGCAGTCTCACTTACAGCAGCAGCAGCAGGTTCTTGGCTTCTCACTCCCTGGTTAGAATCATTTTGAGCTAGAAAATATATTTGCCAACAGATGAAGCTCTGTCTATGGGACCATTTCCATAACCCTATCCTACAAGCAGGATTGATCCATCTCTGAGGGGTTTCTCGCTAAATTACATTCAGTTTTAGCGTGCACCTCCACCTATCAGCTTCATTGGGTGTGCCAGACATTTAAGCTGCTTAAAATGAATGAATGTTATTTGGCAAGAATCTCTTCGGATTCTGCTTGTACAATAGGTTAATGGGAACCCAGTCATTCCTTTTGAGCCCTCATATATTTCAGTAAATCATTTTTTTATTAGACAGTTCTAAAAGAAATATATATGATATATATATGATTGTATTTACATATATACAAGTGGATAAAAATGGTATTTGCTGTGAAATATTCCATCTCTGCAGTAAAATTTTGAATGTTTCACAATACTTATAGTCCTAAAAATGACCAATTTTTTCTGTTACCCAACTCCCCAGCATCTGGCTCACTGGACCCTGGAGAAGATACTGCAGACCCAGTCAACACTGCTGCCTCCAGATCTGACAATATATATAATTATACTAAAGTATTCAACATGTACATGCAAGTCATACTACCCAGCTGTCTCTTTATCTTTTCTGAGACATTTCTCAAAGTATAACACACACACACACACAAATAGGTTTAAAAGTCATGTGAAAACCTTACAATAAATGACAGCATGCATGTAGGATGATGTATTTTTCTATTACCTGATTCCCCAGCATCTGGCACACTGGACCCTGGAGAAGATACTGCAGACCCAGTCAACGCCGAAGGTTGTAGATCTGATAATAAAGTAATTCGTCAAACTGGATTTTTATTTTTCAGCCATTTAAAATTTAAAACTTATCTAGTATTCTACATAATAAGCACATCATACTAGTCAGCTGTCTCTTTATTTTTCAGAGACACTTCTCAAACAGACATAATTATTATAATTACAGTAAGTTTAATCTAGGATAGAAGAAAAATATTTTAGGTCCTAGGTTTAACATATCCAGGATTTTACCCACAGAAGGGTACCAAAATTTGGGGGAGGGGTGGCAGTGTTAACGATATGAACTCTTGTTTTCCAATAATTTCTACATTCAATTGCACACATTAAAACCTTAAAGGAGATTTTGTTTTGAACACCAGATTTTTATGCCAATGACTAGATCTTAATTTGCAATTGAAAAAAAATTTTAGACATAATTTCTTAAATTAAAGTAACAATATTCTTATGGAGTGGTGGCACAAAATAGAAAGCAGGGTATCCTACAGTTGTATTCTATACAGTCAAAACACCATAAATACTGTACAGAAATTTAATTGATATAAATGATTCCAAAATCATATGTAACTAGAAGACTGATATGTTCATTGAAAAGATTGAGACAATGCCATATATACATGCACCTTTAGTTAAATGATGTGATATAAATTCCCATGGCAAATACTCTTACAGTACAAAGAAACAGAAAATGGGGGGGGGGGGGGGGAGTCAAAACCGCTCTGACACACCCACACCCACCCCCAAATCCACTACAGTGCTTTTAGGTAACTCTAACACAATAATCAGGCTATTAAGATGCCAGTGACTCAAACTGTTGCAGTACAGAACATTGCACCAATCATGATGAAAAAAAACCTTACTCCTTGCACCACTGGGACTGGAATCCATGTTTGCACATGGCGGAGATCCTGGATGGTGATCTCGAGAACCTCTGTTTTCATTGTCAGTTGACTCAGACCTCTGACGGGCATCTGTCTTACTATCAGCAGTTGAAGACCCTGCTGTCTCTTCGGCACTTACTCTGGCGTCTGTGGAATTTAAAAATACCCACACTTTACACTGCGTACATGGTTACTTTCAGCATATTAAGGGACACACGTGTACAGATTTTCGGAGAAGTATCCCTTTCCAGACTATATACTACAGCTTATAATAATAATAATAATTATTATTATTCTTCTTCTTATTATTATTATAATTAAAACATGACAAAATGTATTCTCTAATCATTCATTACAACACACAATACATATTGTTATACAAACCTGATGTCAGTGATTCAAACTGCATCGACTCCTGGGGATTTTCAGCGGTTTCAGTGGCAGTCTCACTTACAGCAGCAGCAGCAGGTTCTCGGCTTCTCACTCCCTGATTGGAATCATTTTGAGCTAGAAAATATATTTGCCATCAGATGAAGCTCTGTCTATGGGACCATACCCATAACCCTATCCTACAAGCAGGATTGATCTATCTCTGAGGGGTTTCTCGCTAAATTACATTCAGTTTTAGCGTGCACCCCCCTATCAGCTTCATTGGGTGTGCCAGACATTTAAGCTGCTAAAAATGAATGCAGTGTGGCAAGAATCTCTACAGATCCTGCTAGTACAATTATCAATAGGGAACCCAGTCATTCCTTTTGAGCCCTTAGATATTTCAGTAAATCATAATTTTATTAGACAGCTTTATTAAAAATTCATATATATGAGGATTGTATTTGCATATATACAAGTAGATAAAGACAGCATTTGTTGTGAAATATTCCATCTCTGCAGTACAATTTTGAATGTTTCACAACTGATTAAAAAGAGAGCACATTGGACATCATTTGAAGTTTGAAGTCCTATATACTTATAGTCCTAAAAATGACACATTTTTTCTGTTACCTGACTCTCCAGCATCTGGCTCACTGGACCCTTGAGAAGATACTGCAGACCCAGTCAACACTGATGGCTGTAGATCTGATAATAAAATAATTAGTCAAACTGAATATTTTATTTTTCATCCATTTAAGATTTAAAAATAATGCAGTATTCTACACGATAAGCACATCACACTAGTCAGCTGTCTCTAAATTTATCTGAGACACTTCTCAAACAAATATAATTATTATAATTACAGTAAATTTAATCTAGGATAGAAGATAAATATTTTAGGTCCTAGGTTTAACATATCCAGGATTTTACCCACAGAAGGGCACTGATATTTGGGGGAGGGGTGGCAGCTAGTGTTAATGGTATGAACTCTTCTTTTCCAATAATTTCTACATTCGTTTGCACACACTAAAAACTCAAATGATATTTTGCTTTGAACACCAGCTTTTGTGGCAATGACTAGATCTTTACAAAAGGAAAAATTCTTAAGTCATAATTTCTTAAATTAAGAATATTCTTATTGAGTGGTGGCACAAAATAGAAAGCAGGGTATCCTACAGTTGTATTCTATACAGTCAAAAGACTATAAATGCTGTACAGAAATTTAGTTGATATAAATGATTCCAAAATCATGTAACTAGAAGACTGATATGTTCATTGAAAATATTGAGTCAATAGGGTACCATATATACATGTACCTCTAGTTAAATGATGTGATATAAATTTCCACGGCAAATCCTCTTACAGTACACTGTACCTTTTGGAATGAGATTCCAGATTTTCTCCCAATTTTCTTCATCTTCCCAATCTTCTTTTTTTCTGAACTGTATGGATCTGTACGCACCAAGGGAAATTTCCTTCTTACGTGTTTGCAGGTAAATAGGCACTACGATAATTCCATCAGTGTTAGCATAAATTTTGTGGTCTATTATGTTATAATGAATTTGCTGCAACATCAAATCTGGATCATTCTGGCTATCTGAACTTTTTTTACCACACATTTTTTCTAAATAACCCTCAGTCATAACAAGTATGACATGATCAGAATTTTCCACAGCAGAATAAATTTCTCTCATTTCCATTTGCCCCCCCTTTATCATCTGGTGTGGAAGAAAGCAATTAATGCCCTGTTTTCTAGCTTTTCCTTTAAGTTTTTCCACAAACTCGTAGGATAATTTGATGGAGTCAGTCTTGTCGTCCCCAGATAAACATCCATCATACACCACTGTAAAGTGATAGCTGTCTTGTACAGATCTAGACCTGCTGGTAGCCATGATTTACCTAAAGAGGAAAAGTTTGAAATGTATAATAAAAGAAGATAAGAAATAAATATTCATTCCAAATGATTGACATAAATTAAATATGTTGCAACTTTGTACATTCAAGCCTGACAGTGATCTAGTGAGACTCCCCACGGCGATGGATCGATCTAAAACTATATGGGAATGCGCCCAAAATATAGATTACCGATAGGTCAGCAGATAGCAAGTGTGGATTATTAAAACATTGTAGTGCCAGACGTAGGGTAGAACGGCCGTAGAGCACTTGCCCTGTAAGCGAGAGGTCCTGGGTTCAAACCCTGGTCTGGCAGGTGACTTTTACACTCCCTTATGAAAATTTCCTATAGGATTTCCTATAGGATTTCCTATAAGATTTCCTATAGGATCCTATAAGATTTCCTATAGGATATCCTATAGGATCCTATAGGAATTCCTATAGGATCCTATAGGAAATTGTCCCTTTTTCCTATAGGATCCTATAGGAAATCTTATAGGATCCTATAGGAAATCCTATAGGATCCTATAGGAAATCTTATAGGAAATCCTATAGGAAATCCTATAGGAAATTTTCATAAGGGAGTGTAAAAGTCACCTGCCAGACCAGGGTTTGAACCCAGGACCTCTCGCTTACAGGGCAAGTGCTCTACGGCCGTTCTACCCTACGTCTGGCACTACAATGTTTTAATAATCCACACTTGCTATCTGCTGACCTATCGGTAATCTATATTTTGGGCGCATTCCCATATAGTTTTAGATCGATCCATCGCCGTGGGGAGTCTCACTAGATCACTGTCAGGCTTGAATGTACAAAGTTGCAACATATTTAATTTATGTCAATCATTTGGAATGAATATTTATTTCTTATCTTCTTTTATTATACATTTCAAACTTTTCCTCTTTAGGTAAATCATGGCTACCAGCAGGTCTAGATCTGTACAAGACAGCTATCACTTTACAGTGGTGTATGATGGATGTTTATCTGGGGACGACAAGACTGACTCCATCAAATTATCCTACGAGTTTGTGGAAAAACTTAAAGGAAAAGCTAGAAAACAGGGCATTAATTGCTTTCTTCCACACCAGATGATAAAGGGGGGGCAAATGGAAATGAGAGAAATTTATTCTGCTGTGGAAAATTCTGATCATGTCATACTTGTTATGACTGAGGGTTATTTAGAAAAAATGTGTGGTAAAAAAAGTTCAGATAGCCAGAATGATCCAGATTTGATGTTGCAGCAAATTCATTATAACATAATAGACCACAAAATTTATGCTAACACTGATGGAATTATCGTAGTGCCTATTTACCTGCAAACACGTAAGAAGGAAATTTCCCTTGGTGCGTACAGATCCATACAGTTCAGAAAAAAAGAAGATTGGGAAGATGAAGAAAATTGGGAGAAAATCTGGAATCTCATTCCAAAAGGTACAGTGTACTGTAAGAGGATTTGCCGTGGAAATTTATATCACATCATTTAACTAGAGGTACATGTATATATGGTACCCTATTGACTCAATATTTTCAATGAACATATCAGTCTTCTAGTTACATGATTTTGGAATCATTTATATCAACTAAATTTCTGTACAGCATTTATAGTCTTTTGACTGTATAGAATACAACTGTAGGATACCCTGCTTTCTATTTTGTGCCACCACTCAATAAGAATATTCTTAATTTAAGAAATTATGACTTAAGAATTTTTCCTTTTGTAAAGATCTAGTCATTGCCACAAAAGCTGGTGTTCAAAGCAAAATATCATTTGAGTTTTTAGTGTGTGCAAACGAATGTAGAAATTATTGGAAAAGAAGAGTTCATACCATTAACACTAGCTGCCACCCCTCCCCCAAATATCAGTGCCCTTCTGTGGGTAAAATCCTGGATATGTTAAACCTAGGACCTAAAATATTTATCTTCTATCCTAGATTAAATTTACTGTAATTATAATAATTATATTTGTTTGAGAAGTGTCTCAGATAAATTTAGAGACAGCTGACTAGTGTGATGTGCTTATCGTGTAGAATACTGCATTATTTTTAAATCTTAAATGGATGAAAAATAAAATATTCAGTTTGACTAATTATTTTATTATCAGATCTACAGCCATCAGTGTTGACTGGGTCTGCAGTATCTTCTCAAGGGTCCAGTGAGCCAGATGCTGGAGAGTCAGGTAACAGAAAAAATGTGTCATTTTTAGGACTATAAGTATATANGTGATATCACATATATCAGACCTGCCTTCCCATCAATAGTCACAGTGATATCACATATATCAGACCTGCCTTCCCATCAATAGTCACAGTGATATCACATATATCAGACCTGCCTTCCCATCAATAGTCACAGTGATATCACATATATCAGACCTACCTTCCCATCAATAGTCACAGTGATATCACATATATCAGAACTACCTTCCCATCAATAGTCACAGTGATATCACATATATCAGACCTACCTTCCCGTCAATAGTCACAGTGATATCACATATATCGGTGGAGTGGCTCCTCTGTTCCCACAAAGCCTTGGCCATACGTGTCAGGTGTCTGTGACTGTCCATCCAACAGTCTGAACTATCCTCGGCACCCCCATCACTTTCTGAACTAATATCACTAAGGATCGATTTGGGCCTCCTGAGGAGAACAGGAAATTATGGTTATAATTGTTTTGAAGTCAGAGAGGAAGATGTGGCGCATAAGTAGGAACTATCTATGCTGCCTATGTCGCATATGAAGGCTCACAATCCTGAATAATATTTAAAGATTTCATTTCAAATGCGGCAAGTTATGACTGCAAGATGCATGGTAGATTTTCACATTGTATATCAATGGGCTGGGTTAAACATGATTACAACTCGAAAAAGACCACAGGTAATTACAAAAACGTTTTGTGTAAACAGCTTTGACATAGATGAACAAGAAAATGTAAAAAAAATTTTTAAAAATCTGCTTGAAAAGTGACAGTTACAGGAGGGGGGGGGGGGGTATACTACAAAAGTACCAAAATTGGCAACTACTAGTAAATGTCCGTCAAATGAGTATACAAATAAACTCCCAAAGTCCAATATTTTATATTTACTATGAAGAACCATTATAATGGACGGTCTAATTCATTCGACAAAGGAGACACATAGCCAATGAAAATGTCAAAATGTGTCCGAATTGCCTGACTGCAGACCATTCAAATTTCGTTTTGGCAAAATCAAAACCATTGAGCAATAATTACTCTACTTTTTATCACCAGAGCTTCAGTTTATTTACCTTTGGTTGCTGAAAGCTAGAGAAGAGACCGTAGGGTATCTTCCAAGTAACACAGGTGGTTCTGCCATCTTTTAAACTAAATAAAATCATCGAAGGCGTGCATTCCCGACTTGGGGATGCCTTGTGTCAGCAGAAATATGGCCGATGATATTCACGCGCTCTCGAGAAACCGCTGGCACTGGCTGGAGACAGGTCACCTTAGGCCACGAATGGGCCGCCACATGCCATGTCAAGCCAGAAGCTAGATGTCATCTTAGGCCAGAGAGTTTAACGCCAATACCCCGTAGGCCAAACAAAAGTGATATGTTAGTTTTAGGAAGTGCTACTTACCCTAATTTGGGAGAAATCAGAACTTTTTGCACCCAATCATATTATCATTTTGTACCCTTTTAATTATTTTAATTTTATTGTATTTATTTGTGCTTTTTATCTATCTAACCACAGAAACCCCACATCCTTTTCCATAATTTTTCAGTAGCAAAATGTTTTTCTTTTATGTCCACATTTCATGCTATATGTTTATTTCTGTCTTTCACAAAATGAAAATATTGAATTAAAATCTTAATTAATGTGATTTTGTGGCTGACAAAAAAGATTATTTGATCTCCAAGTAATGATATACGTATAAATCTATCTGTGTATTTATTTATTTATTTATTTATTTATTTATTTATTTATTTTGATTAATCAATTTATTTATTAATTAGTTTGTGTTTTAAAGGATATATATGGTAAGTGGTATACACGCAATCATTTCTAAAAAGCTCACATAAAATCACCTTTAAAACATCAAACTTAATAACACGTTAGAAATACGCGAGGCTATGAAAAGTACTTATTTCCGTGATTAATGAGCAGATTTCCATGCATATTTAGCTGTTAAGTTCTCTGGCCTGAGATGGCATTTATTCTGTCATCTCCTGACCTGGGACATTCCTACATTGACCTTTGACCTTAATCTTTCATTGGTCGAGAGCAGCGCCACCTGTAAATATGCAACCAGGAAGATTTCCTTATCGTTGTCCTTATTGGCTGTACAAAGTGGAACCGAGTGGAAAGTTCCGGTGCTTATTTCTTGTGCTTCGTGACACTCGAAGAAAAATAGACTAAATCTAATCAAATCATGAGAGGTTTGGAGTTCAAGTGCTTTTTCTACGTGAAGTTGATGGACTGAATGGAAGGCCATTAATTTTGGACAGGTACAATATGTACATTTGCTAATGTGTACTGGGGTACATGTTAATTAACCTCAACAAAAACAGTATTAAGAAAAGACTTGACAAAATCATTGAAGGCTCATGCTATCACTATGATCTGATTGGCGTGATGAGATTAAGTTTTTACTCCAAAATGGTAAAACTAGCCATATGAACTTGTTTAAAATCTAATTTTAGAAGAAAAATGACGTGATCGTCAATTTCAGATTTATAAAGTTTTAAAGATTGTGTCTATTTCAGATGTTAACACAGCTAGCCGGACAGAACCCTTAGACTAAACTTTAAGCTTGTTAAAAGCTCAGGTGTTTTGATAACCCAGGGAAGTTTTTCTAAAAAGAACTATGAATTCTCGGAGAGACTTGACGGTCCAGCCCACCACCCTGGTCCGCTGTATGCGGTACAGTCACATCAGCCAGTTGTGTCAGCTTCTAGACCCTGACCAAGCATGGAAACACATGACTGACTATATCACCAAACCCAATGGCCAGCCGAAATATAACTTTGATACAATATGGTAATGCTATGATAGCCTACTAATAAATACAAGATTGATACAGTTTGACAACTTTTCTTGATTTCGGATAAAAACAACAGTCTAGACTCACTTTAGGGTACTTGTAAATTATTTCCAAGTGCAAAATATTCAAATGTGGTTGAAGATCTAAGAAATCTGCCCAAGCACATTGGAAAATGTAATAGGTTATAAATTATTCTTAACTAAAAGACGGTGATATTTCAATTTTCAGCATGTTAGAAATGGAAGTCCAGAGGCCGAATGGCAGCCCAACAAGAAAACTGATTGAGGATTGGTCTACCCAGAACACCACGGTGAAAGATTTGCTGGATGTTCTCGTTAAGTCAAAACTCTACCGAGCGGCCAACTTCATCAGTGTGGATGTATTAAAGGGTAAATTTGGTTTGGGTTAGATTAGGATCTGCTATACCAGTACTAGTAATGGATGTCATGGCCCTGGCATGATAAACTTTTCAGATGTATAATTTGAGTAGAGCAGCTTACTGTGCATTCTGCGGATTTTAGGGGCGGATCCAGAATTATTTTCTGACAGTCTTAAAAATTTGTTGAGCTGTCCTTCATTTTTGACCATCTTCTGACAGAAAAAATTAGATGCCTATCAATGTAATCTGGAAAAATTTTGACTGTCTTCCAGAAGACCCACAAGACAGCATGCATTTGCCCTTAGGATTTAGACTGATTTGGATGCTTGATACAAAACACTTATATCATAAACTTGAAAAAACCTGTGCATCTTAGTCCTGGAGACAAGTCACGTCAAAGTTATTCCTGTATCCATTTTAAGGAATAAGAAAACTATAAGTTTCATGGCTATTAAAATAAAATTGCAGTGTGTGTGTGTGCATGCATGCGTGCGTGCGTGCGTGCGTGTGTGTGCGTGTGTGTGTGTGTTTATTTTATTTTCCATTTAATATGTCATTGTCAATTACATTCCATGTCTTTTCCTATAGGTGACAAAATTGAAGAAAATGAAATAATCTTGTATGATAAAAATGGTATGTTCTGATTTGATTTCTCTTTATTCTAAAGTATACACATATATAATCTCAAATGATTCTATCTAGGGAATGAGAATTCTATGTAGCTATTACAAAATTTGTCTCCAAAAGAAGCAGCAATTCATCATGTCATGTCACATGTACTTTATACAGATCTATACTAAAATGTTTTGAATAGAGAATAATAATTTATGTAAATAAAGGTTGAATTTGTTCTAGATTTTTGTTCACATGTTCGGCTAAATACCTAGTGTCATTTTAGATGTGGTTTTGTATCACTTTTTACTTGCCTGCACATTTACACTGAGAAAAAATATAAGTGCCCCATGTGAATTATTTATGTAATAAGTAAGGCTACGAACAGTAATCTGCAGTATTTAATTTGTAGCACATTAAATAACAATATTCACTTTGAATAATTTGATATATATATATATATATATATATAACCCATAATACTGAAAAAAATTTATAGTATTGTGTGGGGCATTTATTCTTTTTCTCAATGTATATTTATTGTTCCTACTTTCTATGTATGATTTCAGATGAGTTAAGTTTGCCATTGCTGTCTCAGTAGAATAAATTATTAACTCTCAGTCTAAATATCTTAATTTCAGATTCTGTGGGGTCTCTTCCTTGCCCTGGTCCCACAGAGAGCAGCAACTTGGGTCACTTAAACATCGAGTTGGGCAGCGTGCAAAGCTCCAGTGACAGTAACAACTTTTCTAATGACAATAGCAACAGCGGCAGTATTAGAGTCCATAGACTGGACCACAGCAGTTTTGGAGGGCCTGCAGAAAATTCAGAAGGCAAGAATTTAGCTCGTTGCCCGTCTGAGAATGATTCAAGTCCCTACCTCGCTTCTGAAGAAGTGAATCAGATGATCTCATTAAAGAATGATGTGGAGAACGGAAAGGGGTTGGATGTTGAGCAGGCTACTGACCCTTACTGTTCTCAAGAGACGGTGCTTGTCGGAGCTGAGAATGAGGAGAAGAAGGACACGCAGGCAGCAGGAGACGATATGTCAAGTCTGATACAAGATATTGTGGAAGGGTTGGAGCATGGAGGTGAGACACGTTAAACATAATTGAAGACCTTAAATCTATTTCATTAAAATTTTTAACTTGTGTCGTTTTTTTGTTTTTTTTTTTGTTATAAAAATATACTTTTTAATTACTTTTGTTTATTTACATTGAGACAGTTAACAATTAAACCCTGATGAATGGCATTGTATTTCAGACAGTGTCAAGCACTTTGAGTATTCCAAGTTGAAGCTGATTACAGGAAACTTTAACAGGACGGCTGTCAGTGAGAAAGGAAATTTCCTCGGACAGGGAGGATTTGGGGAAGTATACCTTGGTAAGCTCTTTATCCTTGATACACCATCTTTATTTGAAGTTTAGTTTATGTTGAAATCAATATGAAAATTATGTTCGATTAAATAATTGTTGCTATCTTTAAAATAATATATATATAAATTGTAAATTTTGTTGTTTCTTCTTAATTATTCAAGATGAATATCTTATCTTATTTACATTTTAGATAAGCCATTTTATTAAAACTTATTTACTAATAATTACATGTTTTTCATGATTCAGTAAAATCATGTTTAACATGTTCTTCATATTTTATGTACTTTCAGTACTTAATTCAATCGCAATGTTTTTCCACATTTTTAATATCAGCAAGATGTGTTTTGTATTTCTAGCAGTTAATAATCTTAATGTCAATATTTTACGATGCCTTTCCCAGGTAAACCAGATAGTATCCACTTAATTGCTGTGAAACGTCTGATGGACAGAGTTGATACAGTAATGAAACAGTTCAAAACTGAGCTACAGGTGCTTTCAAAGTAGGTCACCTATCACTTTCCTTCACAAAGCCCTTCTCTGCACCAATATTAAATCAATTGATTCTTCAGATAGACCTAAATAGAGTGTCAACTCATAGAGAAATAAGACTTGGATATTCTTCTTGAACTATGGCCATTGCCATCAAATACTTGATACATTAAGAGGGAAGTATACTTACTCTTTGTAAGCCAGGGCTCAACATGTATAACCACCTGGAATGGTGTGTTAACCCTTGGCAGACTTTTAAATTAAAGGTCTCAACATCTTTTCTTTTTACATGGAGATACAACAATAGTTTGACTTTCAAGTCAAGATGGACAATTTTATTTATTGCAAGACAATTAATTTCATAAATTGTACTATAAAGTGAGACTTTATTTCAGATACCGCCACAAAAACCTGCTTCCTCTGCTTGGCTACTCCAGCGATGGTCCTCAATTCTGTATAGTATTTGAGTACATGCCGAATGGCTCTGTCGAGGACAGGCTGGCGTGCAAGGTGAGTCTCAGTGTGGAGTTTATATACTGGTAGAGTTTATACCAGACCAGGCAGTAGAGACCAGGGAAAATTATTATATCAAAGCATTGGGATAAGTTTGAGTTTCGTCAGGATTTTTTATTAAGAAATATGAGATGAAATGATATAGTGGACTTAAGAGGAATGTCATCATTATTTGAAATTATAATCTTAATTCAAAAAAGCATACATGATTGTGTCTTACAATAATTTATAAATAATGATTTTTTTACTTGACATATTTAAGGAAAACACACCACCCCTTTCTGTGGAGCAGCGATTAGAAATAGTCAAGGGTACAGCGCGTGGCATCGTCTTCCTCCATACCTTTGACGAGAAACCTTTAATACACAGAGACATAAAGAGGTCAGCACTTGTGCCAGCGTCAGCGAATAAAGTTGACTAAAGCATTTTTAGGCTGGTAAAAATGTAGATTGATTCTACAAGACTAAACATGGTTTTTGCTGTGAGGGGTTATTTTTCTTTAGGCTTCATCAGCATGTTAAGCCTTGTTAGAAGCAATCTACTTTTTCACCATCTTGCATGAAAGTCCGTGAAAATTAGTAACTTAGGTAAATAAATTTGAACATATTCTTGCAAGTTGTCTCCTTAAAAATTTTCAATGAAACTGTTTCAACTTTTAGTGCCAACATTCTTCTGGACTGTAACATGGTTCCAAAGGTCGGAGACTTTGGCTTTGCCAGGACGGGCTCGGCTAACCCAGCGTCGATGAAAATGACCACAACAGTCATCGGCACGTCTGCGTACATGGCCCCCGAAGCCGTCAAGTTTGACATCTCCATCAAATTGGACACTTTCAGTTATGGTGTGGTAAGTTGCATGATGCTATATTGTCTGTGGAAAATGCAAGCAAGACGGATTTTCATTCTATGACTCAAATGCTAATTCTGCTGAAAGAAAAATGTAATGTAATTATCTATCTTCTTAATTCAGGACATTTTTTTGTTGCCAAAACACTTGATTGAGCCCACTGTAAAGCTATGATTAGCCTCAAATGTTAGTCAAATGTTTGCAAGAAACTTGGAAACCTTTGATGATTATATAGATCACTTCAAATTACTGAAAAAGTTTATTTTTTCAAGTGTCAAGACCAGAAATGTGCTTAGACTGAACACGAAGTAAATATGATGATGTGGTATTGTACACCTGTTAAAATAAGAGGTTTTTGTATTTGTTCATTATAATTTCCAGGTGCTCCTAGAATTGCTGAGTGGACTGCCCCCTTTTGATGAGGAGAGAGAGGAGAAGGATTTGGTAAAGAGAAGTCCATGGCACACCTGCGTGAACATACACATGCATGTAAACATGCACGCATTAATGTGTGCACACACACACTCACACACTCTGACATTATGTACTAAGAACTCTGAGACATTTATAAAATATCTTTCCAAATTTTCTCATTTTGTTAATTTGATGAAAATACCAAATCAAGTTTTGGACAAAAGATTTCCTTCCTATTCAAAGATGGGATAAGAAAGAACATGAAAAATTGCAAAATTTTCCTTACCAAATCAGCCCAAGCATTTGGCTAGTATTAGACCACTTGAAATGAAGAAATGCCCAGGTATCTGAGTGTACATGTTTATTTTCTTCTGCCCCCCCCCCCCCCCCC